CAGGACCTTGAGGGAACAAGCGTTTCTGCCAGTATTGCTCATTGGGTCGTTGTGACATGTAAGTCCGACTACGATGTCAATGTAGATGCGTGTCGGTCAGGTAAATAGATTAATTGGGGTTTGAATTCGAGACTTATCATTGGAAATTTGAGTACCTTAGCCAATGTGTTGCACCAATTTATCCAGTATTTTTCAGCAAGCTAGTATGATTCTTCACCCCCAGATAGTGTCTAGCTGACGCCCTTCGTTTTTGCAGCTGGGGCTTTTCGGTCTAGACATCCTACTTTGCAACTATGGTTCAATTACTACTACACCTACCGAGGTTTAAGCGGCCAGACAATGTCATTACTTCTTACACAATAAGCTTGTTACCTGTTGCACTAAAGTGCACATAGTTACTGAATTGCACTTTTATGTATGGAGGGACATTAGTGTAGAATCTCAACTTACACGTAAATATCAAGGCTTATTTATTTACTGGTAACTTACGGGCTTTTCTGAGTGTATGAAGTGAAACGAAAACTTGCGAAAAGTACTGTAGTCATTTCTCTGTTTGTCGGTTGGTTTTTTTCAGGCTCATATTATTTTATTTCAGCAGTGTTAACCTGTGTATTCAAGCATAACTTATCAGCGTAACTTATCTTAACGGCACCCTACCTGTAGAGGTTTTGGAAACCGGATAACCCTAAATGATAACTTTCCATGTGTGTGCATATACATGAGGTTCTAATGCAGTGCTTTCAGCACAATACGTTTGTCCAGTACTGCTTTCAAAATCGAACACAAAGGTTACCAGTATAGCTGTTAACTGAGTGCCTTTATCAAAACCCGACGGATAGTGATTATCCTGTCAGTGCATATTGGTTTAGATATGAAGCCTGCCCATTTCTCTATGGTTTGATGGTCTCGAACTCCACTTATGTGTCATTTGATTGTTGACCCTAAAGTTTTGAAGACAACTAAGTGTCTCTGTGCTTGTCACATTTCCGTTCTTTGTTTGAAACTAATGAACAACAGCATAGAGTAATATGAACGGACTTTCCGTGGTTTTCATGTCTAACTGGCAATTATTTTACGTCCATCGTTAAATAACCATAGAAAGCGTTAAATCCTGCTATTTGGTCCCACACCTTTATAGATAAATCAACGTAAAACCTCGCACATAACTGCATCAGTTCAAGTTGTCACACTTCACAGTAGCATGCAGGGAGAACAATTCGATTGAAAACGATTGATATCAAAGTAGACAAAGATGTATGGAAGGAAAGAAAGCTTAAAAATGAAGATTAATGAAAATGTTAGACCTCTAGAAGAGATCAAAGAATCAAGACATATGCGCCATTGTGACCGATTTTCAGTCATCTCAGCAAGTGTCCTAAACCACTGATTCCTATCGTTTCGGAAACTCTGACCAGATAGTCCACACCTCACCACCTGGCTCAGATAAAAAGAGGGAGCTGAAAGTGTGAAGGCTAATGATACTTTCTGGCGTCCACCACTGTAAAGATTGATGTCTTCTCAGTGTGCTTAAATGAGTTGGTTTTCATGGTCTGTGATTTGAAGGGGCGTTTTTGAGTTTAACCATATCTTGTAAGTTTGCCTTTAAAGTGTGTTATCCATTCTTTAATGATGCTCACCACTTGCTATAGGGAGCATTAATTCGTCTTACCATGTCATACCAGCTTCTGTTGACGTGTCGTGTTGATTTTACTTGAGTGCACACACTGTTTTAGAAGGTTCTACTTCGTCTCAACATGGTTTACTGTGGTCAGTAATTCCTCACTGTTCACAGCCACAAACTCAAATCAATATACAACAGTTTATTTCATGGACAACATAGTTTTTCTATTATTTGGTTGAAGTTTTGCGGAAGGGTATAAGTTTATGGTTTATTTAGTAGTGTTAGTTGTAAGGTTAAAATTACTGAAGCTTTTTAACGGCAGCACTTAATTTCGACCTATCATGAAAGCGGTTGTTTTTCAACTTATGAAAGTAAACATCTTATAGACTATCCTGTACGTTCATCGTATAATTGTATCTACTTCTGTAATTACATATTGAATAGTTTAATATTTGGGATTTCTTTTCAAATTGTGAGTTCTGAAAAAGGTTTGTTCACAAAGCGAATTAATATGTATGTCTTCCATAAGACTAACCAGTGTTTTAACATAAATTTGTTTTCTGATGGAAATCTCCATATTTATTGATTTTTACTTCCATAATCGTTTAATACCCTTATAAATCATAAGATTGTGCCTCTTGCTGCGTCCCAGTAAGTTACTTTTCAGTCTGAATAGGTTTTTTCACGTTTGTGTATACTTTTCTTATTAAGCTGAAAGATTTGTAACTTTCTATTGTGCATTATCTTTATAGTTCTGCCAGTTAGTTCTCATAAACATGTACTCATATGCTTTGTTGGTTTGTGACGACCAACTATCAGGTCGCTATTTCAAACTCTACTTCTTAGTACGATTGACCTGTTGAGGAATAGTACATAGTATTTGTTTATTTTGTTTGCTCTGGTTATGCTACACTGCCATTACACAAGTGAAATACACTTTATACAATGAATCTACTTCGAAATAGGATACAGTGTAGTATCTTTAACCATTATGCAGTAAACAGGACTGATAGTGTTATGTGTAGGTTTGTATTAAGTCATTGAGTTCTTGAAAGACGGTTTGGATTATCTTTGCGTATGGTATTAGTTTGTTCTTGATTGTGTACACTACCAAAGGGGTTGGTGATTACGATCAACTGCTCTCATATATGGATTCACCAGGCTATTTTTTTAAAACATGAAATATCTCTGTTCTTTTATTAAAGGTCCTTTTAAATCACCGTCTTTTTTTCGCATGAACTTTTACGTGGAACAGACTGGGATATATTTTTGCTGATGAAGTTTTAGACAACACTACCACCAATATCACAAGCTATCTCAGATTCTGTCTTGATATTTGCTGTCCTGCTGAAATAATCTACATAAGATTCGACAGATTTTCCTCTCTTCATCTCAAGAGGCTCCGGAGAGGAAAGAAAAGTTGTATAAGACGACAGATCACCCCGGCGTTAAAAGACCCAACTGCCTAATTAAGTCTGAAATACAACGTCTGAATACTATTCACAACCAGAAGTTTCTGTAGTGTAAAGACTCTCTCAATGTGTGGAAATTATTTAAAGAGCGTACTGGTGGAAAACAGATGACAAAAGAAGCTTTTCCGGATGTGTTAAACAAGTCATTCATACGTCGGCAAGCTGATTTCACCCTTCCTAATGTCCGAAGTCAAATGGACAGCTGCTTTCTTGGTTTTAATACACTTGATGTATTTAAATGTCTAAAATCCTTGAATTCATCCTAAAGCTTAGGTCCTGATGGTGTTTCTAGTATTGTATTTAGAAAGTGTGCAGATATTTTATGTCATCCCCTTACGATATCTTCAATGCACCGTTTTCTAAAAACACAATACTCACTGCTTGGAAGGAGATAAAAGTTGTACCTATGCCTAAGTCATCTTCTGGATCAGATGTTACATTTTGACCCATCGCTATAACTTCCCCCTCTTTGAAGACAGTGGAGAAATTCCTTCACCTTGTGCTTGAACCTCCATTGAAGGTTTTCAGAGATTCAAAACAGTTTGTTTCCAAACACAGGAGAAGTAATTTAGATACTGCCACTGTCTTGTATCATAATATTTCTTCTAGTCTAGACTTTTGGGTGTTTAGTATGTTCTTTGTGCCTTTTTGGATTACTCTTCGGTCTTGGACTCTTGTTAAGTAAGCTTTCCATGACTCATACTGAGCCATGGGTTACAAAGTGGCTGTATTTTTATTTTTCTGAAAGGAAACAGTATACTGTCTATAAAGGGGAGCACTCCACTTCATTACTCAATGGAGCTGATGTGCCTCAAGGTGGCTGTATTTTCTCCTTTTCTGTTTTCGTTGTTTTTGCACCTTATTCTGTTGGAACTAATTTTATTAAGGATGCTGATGATCTGACTGTATTTATTTCAGTTAACTCTCACTTAGATTGGTCTGAATTAAATGGATTCTTGTCTCTTATTGACCAATGGTCTCTCTCAAACTAAGCCTTTCTGAATGTCAGACTGTTAATTCCAGCCTCAGGCGTAAACTAGACTTGTGTGAACTGCTTAAGTCTCATGATGCCTGTTGCATTGATGGTATTTCTGCAGAAAGTAAATCGAGTGTTAAGTATCTTGGGTTGAGTTTTACTTCTGACCTTCGTTGGTCGTCTCATATCTTATTGACTTGTAAGAACATTTTTCGTTTTACATATTTCATAAAGAAACTGGGGCTCTCTGGTATAACTCAACCTCTACTTTTACACGTTATTGACTCTTGCATTTCACCTTTTCTTCTCTATTATTCCCCATTGATCGCTCCTAATCTTCTAAAAAGGACTAATATTATATTGCGTAGGGCTTTGAAAGCCGTCAACAGGGTGGGTGGTGTGCATCTGGCCCAACTGATCAACACTGTAGTTGACAGACATTTAAATTCTAGCAAGCAACTAGGTACAGTAATTTTAACTGATACTCAGCATCCACTTCATTCATGGCTGTCTCTCTTCTTGTATCGTCTCAGGGAGGACAAGAAGAAACTACATAAGACTGTACGCATGTGCAGCTAAGTATAAGAATTCGACTCTGTCTTGCCTAACACGCATATTATGTGAGGAAAAGAGTGTTAGAACAGAACTCACATATCAACTTTGTAACAGTTAACAATCTCATTTCAGTAATTTAGTTAGCAAAGTAAAATGTTCTCGTTTTCAATATTCACTACATTAATTAGATTTTTATGATAACACAATTCGAAATGTTGTAAAGGAGTATAAACACACACATATTTAATTGTTGGTGCAATATATCATGCTGAGAATTTTAAACTGTACTAAAAATTATTTGGAATGAAGTGAATTATTATCATTTTGTTAACTTCGGGAGAATTTTGTTTACTTTTTTTAAATGCATTTTTTGTAGAGGTGTCTATGCCGTCTCTTCAGTATCGTTTACAGGTAAACGATACAAATTTAGCCGTTCTCAGTCCACTTGATGGTTGTACTCTTAAAGCTCTAAATTATGGACAAACTGAAGTTACACTTCTTGACCGCAGTAAGTTATTTACTGATTACCGTTTATCATTTTTCCTCATATACCTTGGGTATTCCTTATCACTTTAGTCTAAATAGTTGGATACATGTGAATCAATATTTAAAAAACTCTATTTCTACATTTAATTTAACTCTGTTACTTTATTAGATGTCGAAGAAGCTCTAGAGAGTTTGGATAAAGTTTTGAACTCAAAGGTCGAGGAACCAGATCTCCGTTTGCCAAAACGAAGACGTCCAACTTCGTTAATACAGATTGTTGAACCTGCTTATTTGGGTTTCACACTCTTACAAAAGTTTACTAATAAACACTCAGATATATGTCAGTTGGCAGCATTCTTAAGTTCAGGATCATATGTCAACCAGATTGGAACCGGCTCTTATACTCCTATTCGAAGATGGATTATGGAATCAGGAAAAGTCTATGTGGTTAGCGTAGATATATATGATCGCAATAATCACCGTTTATATCCATCAGACAATCTGCGCCTAAGTCTCCATTTCCCAGAAAGTCATTTTGAGGTAAAAAAACAAAACAGTTCTACTGCTTTTTACAGTTTGTCTAAATTTGTTACACACTGGTAGATCATCTTTTTTCACTGTTTGTGACTAACCTGTAATAATTTGCAAGTCTTTGTTGCTTGATAGTCTATTTTTAAAACGACAGTGCTCTATGCATAATTATTCCACTTTAGGCTGTAAGTATTTTCTTCTCCGTCTTGATCATCACTAGATCTGACACCATTACCTTACGATTCAAGTTTTCATACTCATATCAAGATACAATGTACGAAGATGAAATACAGAAATAATAATAAAAAACTATAATCAGTCGTAGTAAGGCGTACAACGACAAAAGAGGGAGTAAAAATATAATGTGACGATTAAGATCAAATTATAGTGTGGATTTGTCTACACCATTGTGGTTGATTCTTAGTCGCATCATGTGAAGTTTGCAGCGATCGATTTCCGTTGTCAGGTGGACTCCAATCTGGAAGTCTACACTTATCTACATGACTCAGATCTACGGTCAAAGAGTTATTATTGTTAAACACCTTTGTATAATTACTGTGACCAGTGCGTAAATGTTCTCATAGGAGGAACTGAAGTAGCTCCACAGGATTCCTTGGGATTAGTTTAGTAAGTAGGTAGTACTATACATTGTAGAGCTGTTGCTCACTGATTTGATTAGTCAACTGTCAACCTGTGAGCCGCAGGTTCAAATAGCGCTCCAACTATTTCTTTCTGATCTACCGGGTAGTAGTCATAGGCTGTCACACTATAAGTGTGACTCGTAGCCCACAAAATAGACATGTATCAAATTCTATTCTAGTATCTACAAAAAGGCTCATTTTGCACTCGTGTTTTTACTTCTATGTTTTCTCTGAAATGTCATTTTCATGCTTGCTATTTGTGTTGCCTACAGACATCTTTCGCTTGCCTTTACGTGTTTTACTGGCTAGGGAAAAGGTATTGAAATGACAGCACGTATAAAAGCTGTTTCTAAACTCACTAGTTTTTGTTTTATACCATACGCTATTGAGTAGTACGAGGTCGGCTTAATTGTTCTTATTGACCCATGGAGATATTAATGACTAGGAGTCAGGCACATTTATTTGATTACGTCCACTTGTCATCTGCTTTTAAGTCTTAAAATCTTTGTTTCTATTTTGATATTGAAAAATTTCGGCTACTTGATTGTTTTTCATTCTGCAATATTCTGCTTCAGCCTTATCACTTTCATAATTACACTTTTCAGATCTTACAATCTTCATCCAATCAGACTTATGTCGTTATTGAGGCATCCTCATCTGGTTCAGTGTCTCTCAAAGCTGTTTTAAAAGGCGTCATTGACGAGGCAAGTTCATTTGATTATCGTTATCCTAAATATTACTGATGGTGGTCGTACATTTTGTTACAATTTATTTTTGCATTGATCATTAGTGATTCGATTACAGTTTGGTGATACTTCTTTAGACTTTAGAGAGTAAGATGTGAAAACTAAGAATATTGACTAGTTCATATTAGTTGAAATTTCTGTTTATAATATTATGTTCATTTTTATGCATCTGTGGTCGGTCACCGCACACTAGTTAGCTCTATCGGAAATGTTGGGAAACAACGGTGCCTCGGTGAACAATAGGGAGTGTAGTGGTTGAGTGTGTCGACCACTTCACTTATCTAGGAAGCAGAATCAACCGGGTGGTTAGCTCACTGGCCGACGAAATTTCTGCACGAATACAAAAGGCTCGATTGGCTTTCGTCAACTTACGCCACCTGTGGCGCTACCATGATATCCGACTGTCTATTAAGGGTGGCGTGTACTGCACAGCAGTCTGCTCTCTTCTACTGTATGGCTGTGAAACATGGCCATTGAAGGTGGAAGACATGACAAGGTTTCAGGTGTTTGACCACCGTTGCCTCCATAGTATAGGCAGTATTTCGTCGTGTCACCACATGAGTAACTCAAAGTCAGGTGTAGAGTTTTAGGGAGAAGAGGTAAGTCAGTTGATGAGGTTGTGGACCTCCATTGACTGAGATGGTTGGCTGGGACACGTGTTGCGTATGCCTGATCTCCGTCTACTTCGTCACACAACGTTGGCCGAAGTAGACTCAGACTGGAAAAGGGTCCGAGGTGGCCAGACTGAAACACATGGCATCACTGTATGAAGTTTCTGACTGTTGGTTTGAGTCATGTGAGGCGATGCAGACTAGGTGGTTGGGATGCGTGAGACAAGAGAAACCAGTGGTTGGAGACTGACTCTATATGATATGGCTGAGAATCGATGTCAGTGGTGCAGATGTATACACACATTGTTCTCATCTGAACGCTTTACCGAATGTCACCATTTTCTCATTCTTCTTCCTCTGTTTTAGTACTTTATATTTCTTTTGACTGAATTTTTGTTTCATGTTTCACTTCACTGCCTTTCTACTTGATGTGGTGATATGAGGTGTGGCAACTCGGACCGTAACTCAGTATTGCCTAGTCCTGGACTGATTTGGATGGATAGCTACATTGACTAAAATGCTCAAATTCTATTCTTACCGACACTTTGCATTCTGGTCTTGGGATACAAACTCAGCGTAGATAGTTTTTTTAGATGATGAAGTTATTGTTATCTTTTAAATGGTTACAGCTCCATCCGTTTGGTGCATTCATCAAATATCTTTTCTTCAATCTTCAGATTTCATTTTCACTTTATTCTGTGTAACAGTAATTTTTCCAACAGCTCACTGCATGATAACTTAAGGCTAATCGTACACATACTTTTGTACAAATAACTAAGTCATAATACGTTTTGTGTGCTGTAACAAATAACATGAAGGATACATTGGTTCCACACCTGTATCAAGGGGTTATTGCTCTGGCAATCAACTTCCAACCACTCGACAAGTGAATAAGTCAACATGGAACGTTGAACGGAAGTACATTAGTTCAAGTAGCGGCGCTTCGCAACAGCGAAGAAAAAAGAAACAAGTAGAAAAACATTGATGTTAAAGCAAAGTGTTTAGTGCGAGAGATAACAATTCAGTCCTTAAGTCACAAGTTCGAATCTCCTTTCCACTGACTTAAATTTGTACGGCTAAATAGTATTCTTGTCAGTTGAACAATTAAGTTAGTTCGCATTTTCAGTAAAGCGAATTCTTTAATGCATATTAAATACGCATCACAGTAGCCACTTTTAACGAATAAATGATTTTACTTATCTGTTTCATCAAAACGGAAATGAGATTTGGAAAACAAAAAGAGCATATTTCTTCATTGGATGGCTTTTATTCACCTGCGGACAACTTAAGATTTACGAAAATGCTGTAGAAATTTATGTTTACATGATGAACTACAAGACAGAGGAGTCTTTTCTGGTTTTTCAGATTCGGTCCCTCTGCAATGCTAAAGACGCTGTTTATCAGTCGAAAATTGATCAGTCCTAAGATGATATCACTTCTAACCACATCCACCAATTCAAATGCATTTGTCAAAGAAAGTATGTTCGAAACACATCTGGTTTTACTAGTATATGCCACAGTGCAGGTGTGGGTCATTAGTCTAAGCAGCTGACATTCAACCAGTCAGTTACGGGTTTGAACCGCGCCCCACAAACTGAGGTCTGGGCAGCCAAATGGTAGCATCAACCGTCCCAACGGACGTGACTCATTGTCTACTGCATAGAAGTACACGTAGTTACTTAGTGCACTTAGACCCGCAGTAACTGCTGGTGATCGCTACTCTTCACACTTAAGCTTTTAACGTCTAAACCCTGTGCCCGATTGAATAACAGGCATCTCTTGCCAGAATTCTGGAATCTCGAACCATGGATATGTGCTGCGTTCTCGAGACACATATACAGGACCCAAGTACACTTATTCACTTGACCAATGTGGTAGATCTTCAAAAGTACGCTTTGTGAGTATCTCGATATCCAATGACTAACACTCGTGGAGTCGCTGGTGTTGGTATAGCATTAATTAGTAAAGTAGGAAGCCCACTTCTCGACTAGATACCAGCTAACAATCATCTGTACGGTATTGATCGAATGATTGTGTAGTAAATAAAAAGGATCGTGACACTCCGATGCCCATTCGTAATCTTCTTCTACTCATCCACCAACAGCAGTCTGGATGTTACAAAATATGAGTTTTGTCAATTTCTCCACACCTTACTAGTCGCAGGAAACAGGTAACAGTTGGGATTTTGTTCACTTGACTGGAAGATGCAAACGTCAAATGACTATTAAGCAAGGAGGTTGCGAATTTGTCTGAACATGCCACTAACCCTTCTTAAAGAAGCCTAGCGTGATAGTAAGTCTGCTGTAGAAACAGCTTTAAAGACAGTTAGTAACCTACATCTAAGGACTAGTGAAAGCCAGTGGATTTTTGCAAACTCATCCTAACTGAATGATGAGAGAAGACTAATTCCAGCTGTCTCTGACCTCAGCGATAAGGACCGAAAGCATCTCAAATATAAATTGACTAAGAATCTTCGCAGTGATCACGAGCAGGGATGGGTGGGTTGAATGAAAGAAATGGAGAAAGTTTCAGCACTTGGTAGTGCTGGGCAATTATTTTGGTTTACTAGGGATACTGGTCAAAAGATGGTGTTTAGGGAGACTACCACCGGAAAGGATGAAACCCTGATGAATTGTCAGAACAGACGACTTGAACGTTGCTCAGAACACTTTGAAACACAGTTCAACTGACCTGCAGCAACGCTTCAGTTGCCCAACATCCGGTCCAAACCTGAATGGAACGTAGATGTCGATCCCCCAAATCTCCTGGAACTTGAGAAGACTGCTTCAAACGTGAAACGATGCAAAGTAGTAGGACCTGACAGTTTACCACCCTATGTTTCTACTGACGGAGATGGGAAATTACTGAGTAGAGTAGCAGAGGTACTGAGTAGTGTATGAATCAGCGGTAGTCCCGCCAGACCGGTCTACTTCACTGGTCATTTCACTTTATAATAAAGGAGAGAAGTCTTCTTGTAACAGCCATGCGAGGATTGGTTTATCTAACATCATTCATGGTTATCCGATGCCTAATGGGAGCTGGAGAACACAGGGCAGGTTTCAGATCTGAACGATACTGCGTCGATCAAATCTTCACCCATCAACAGTTTGTGGTACAAGGCCATACCTATCAACAGCCGACACTTGCCTTATTTCTTCACCTGAAGGTGGCATTCACTCTATCAACTGAGAGGCGTTGTGGTAGTGGTAGTGTCTCACTGTTAAGGAGTACAGAGAAAGTGTGTAACACTTATCAAAGCTCTCTACTCAAACTCATGCAGGGATATGAGGGCCTATGGAGAGTCGCCATGTGAAGTGGCAATCGATGATGTCGACGGGTGATACCCGCTGTCATCGTTCCTGTTTAGCTTCGTCAAAGATATATTGATATACATAGCCTTAGGTAGGTCTGACTTTACATAGATTAACTAACCCACTCGCTGGAGGGCATGTGGTTGACTTCGAGTACACAGTAGGCGTTGTTCTGCTGACAAAATAAAGGGTCTTTTGAACACACTAAGCAGAAATTCAAGTGTGTTTGGTATGCGTATCACATCTATGAAACGGAAGGTGTGGTCTTGGAACTGGTGTGCAACTACCTTTAGTTTGAGGATAGTGAGTAAATTGGAGAAGTGCGTTGATAACACACTAACGGTTCGGTTGGTGATGAAATCTCAGCTTGGATATAGAAGGCCCGTTTGGCATTTGCAAACATGCATCATCTCTGGCACCGAATGAAGAGATATATGACTGTCTGGTAACGGATAAGTATACTGGGCTGCAATCCGTTCTGTTCTGCCCTATTGTACGACTGTAGGATGTGGTCGTTGAAAGTAGGAAGATATGAAGAGACTGTAGGTTTTCGAACACAAGTACCTTGGTAGGATTCGTGGTGTGAGTAATTTTGAGATTAGACGAGGAAAGTAAGTCATTCAGTGAGATTGTGAACCTTCAGTGACTGAGGATGCTTGGATATGTTCCACTCACTGAGCTACAGCCTACCTCGGCATGCAGTGTTAGCCAGTGTTGTGTGTTAAAATTTGGTTACAATGATGCACAAGTATTTACTCTTTGACATGTGGAAAAGTTTGAATATTTTCACTAGGTTTCATTTTCAAGTTCCATCCTCTAAAATAGTTTTTTCCACTTTAATATCAGTCTTTGTCTAACCAGTTCTTCTTTGAATGGTGTTGTAAAATGTGGTAACGTGAGCCGATACACTTCTATGCTAGGTTCCGTTTTGATATTATTTTGCAAGTTATGAACCGTTATGTATGAAGACTTAAAAACTTTGTCGAATCAATATTGCCATTACAGTGTTCTCGAATACTCGGTTAGTCTTTTTTAAGTACACTTTCTACTTATCTTTTCTTAGATTAGTATCATGGGATGAATGCAGTCACTTCTATTTAACTTTTGTTAAACTATCTATGTAGTGAAAGGAAATTATTTTGTTTTTATCATTTGTTCTCAAAGGATGGAAACGTTATTGAATTCAATTCAGTTATAACGGGTAGTCAAGATGTGACTATTTACTCGCCAATTAAAATTCATCCAGCGTCGATTATTTTACCGTGGTCTACAGAGGTAACATCAACACAATCTAATATCACACTTGCAAATTCTGGTTATCAAATTCACGCTAGTGGGGGATGTGGTCAGTATAGATGGACAGCTTTATCTACTTATGCATTAGAACATTATTCTGATACAGGCAAATTACCAAGCACTGAGTTATTGACAGATACTGTCGTATCTATTACCAAAACAGGTATTCTGTCAGCTTTGGTACGTTTTATTTTTCTGCATCTGGTCATTCACAATAATTTTTTTTCTGGTCGGCATCGTTAATCAAATTGTCTTTTTTTTTCATCAGCGTCATTGTGTTAGTTGAAGATTCTACTGGTTTCATATTGATGGATTTTATGTCCTATCATTTCAAAATCTTTTAAGTGCAATGCACTTCTCTGTGCTGGAAAATGATAGAACTTTGCCAGTCGAAGAGGTTCCACTCTAAAGCAGCTTTTCTTAATACATGAATGTTTACGGCGTAACATCTTGGCACCAAGTATTAGATACAGACCACCCATCAACTGTCCTACTGGATGGAAGATTGCACAACAAAGCAGCAGAAAAACGATGTGAATAATGATATCAGATGCAAACAACAGATTAACCAAACACAATAAAGTAATTACAGCTCAACTACACCTTTTGGAACCAACCATTATAGCAGATGTAATGAGCAATTTGATAATAGCGATCAATATAACAACTGAGACCAAAGTCGAGAAGAGAAGACAGAAGTTGGTTGATAAACTATTCAGGCTATTACAAGTAAGAACTAAAAGGAATAGTGAGACTCGCCGTTGTCTCTTTGTAATCTCTGCTTACGCACCCACTGACTGCAGCTCGGATGAAGTGAAGGACGAGTTCTACCATAAACTGTCTAACCTCCTCTCGAAAGCCAAACGTTCGGACGTAGTGGTTGTTGCAGGTGACCTCAACGCACAGGTGGGTAGACTGAGTGAGGCAGAAAGGCACTTAGGTGGCACTTTCGGAATCCCAGCTGAACGTACAGATAACGGTGATCGCCTATTACAACTATGCTCAGATAACCGCCTATTTTTAGCCAGCACAAATTTCAGACATAAAGAAAGGCACTGTCTGACCTGGCGTCCACCGAGCTCGACTCAGCGATGGACACAGATAGACCACATTGCTATTAGTCATCGCTGGAGAGGATCGGTGGAAGACTGCCGCTCCTTCTGGAGTACGTGTTTGGACAGCGATCATGCGTTGGTCCGAGCACGTATATGCCTGCGTCTCAATGGACGTAGAAAAAATTTGGCAACAAAACCACTACGAGTTCTGCTGGACAACGAAAACACCAAAGCCGTGTTCAGTGAGAAGTTGGCTAGGCAGTTATCGGAACAAAAGACTGTCACTCATCCAGAAGAAGCTTGGTGCCATCTTCAGTCTACTGTAAAAGCAGCACTGGAGACTGTAGCCGACTCCAAGATAATGGCTAAAAAGAGCCAGTGGATATCAGCAGCTTCTTCCAAACTAATGGATGCACGTGAATGCATCCCTGCAGGCTCTGAGTACAATGAAGAGCGAGCGCAACTTAAAAAAACTGACGAAAAGTCTGCGCAACGATCGTGAACAGTGGTGGGCAGCAAAGGCTAAAGAGATGGAAAAGGCAGCGGCGATCGGTAACAGTAGACAGTTATTTAGACTTATTAAGGAGACTGGGGGGAAATGGTCAACAACAGTTAGTGAGGTTATAGCGGAGAAGGACGGATCGGCGATTCACTCGCAGGGAAGATGATAGACGATGGGCAGAACACTTTGAGGAACAGTTTAACTGGCCTCCAGCCACCATTGCGCTGCCCGCTATCCAGTCGGACCCTGAATGGGACATAGAGACAGGTCCCCCAACACTAGAAGAAGTTGAGAAAGCGGTAGGTAGCCTGAAACGGGAAGGGCAGCAGGACCAGACGGACTACCTGCTGAGGTATACAAGAATGGTGGTAGAGTTCTCTTAGTCAGGCTAACGGAAGTGTTAGCCAGTATATGGGAATCAAATACGATCCCCTCCGACTGGTCTAAGTCACTGATCATCCCAGTCTTCAAGAAAGGCGAGAAGTCCTCTTGTGATAACCACAGAGGAATCAGCCTGACAAACATAGTGTCTAAGATCCTAAGTTCTATAATTCTCCGACGCCTGAGTGGAGCTCGGGAACAGCAAGCCCGAGAAAACCAGGCAGGCTTTAGACCTGGCCGTGGATGTATCGACCAAATATTCACACTGCGCCAGGTCCTGGAACATAGGCATGCTTACAGACGCCCGACAATAGCTGTATTTCTCGACCTGAAGGCGGCATTTGACTCCGTTGATCGAGAAGTCTTATGGCAGTGTCTGTCACTGAAAGGCGTGCCTAGTAAGTACATCACCTTATTGAAAGCTCTCTACTCGAACACTTGTGGGCATGTTAGAGCCTATGGTGAGTTGTCCAGGGAGCTATACTCATCAAGTGGTGTCCGTCAAGGATGCCCACTATCCCCATTCTTATTTAATTTTATCATAGATATTCTTATGGAGGTTTCCCTCTCGTCACCTAATTACAAAGACGTTGACCGGATCACAGGTGAATTTTCCTTAGATCTAGAATATGCAGATGACATAGTCCTGTTAGGTGAAGACGCTGACAAGATGCAGAGTCTTCTGAACACTTTGAGTGGGAATTTGAGAATGTTTGGGATGCGATTTTCACCACCCAAATGCAAATTTTTGCTCCAGGACTGGTCTTCAGCGGTACCGCGGTTAACAATAGAGAGTGAAGTGGTTGAGTGTGTTGACCACTTCACTTACCTGGGAAGTAGGATCAACCCGGTGGGTTAGTTGCCGATGAGATTTCTGCACGGATACAAAAGGCTCGATTGGCTTTTGCCAATTTGCGCCACCTATGGCGCCGCCGTGATATTCGTTTGTCTATTAAGGGTCGCGTGTACTGCACAGCAGTCCGCTCTGTTCTACTGTATGGCTGTGAAACATGGCCATTGAAAGTGGAAGACATGAGAAGGTTACAGGTGTTTGACCACCGTTGCCTTCGTAGTATAGGCCGTATTCCGTGGTGTCACCACATGAGTAATGCAGAAGTTAGGTGTAGAGTTTTAGGGAGAAGAGGTAAGTCAATTGATGAGGTTGTGAACCTCCATTGACTGAGATGGTTGGTTGGCTGGGACACGTGTTGCGTATGCCTGATCTCCGTCTACTCCGTCATACAACGTTGGCCGAAGTAGACTCAGACTGGAAAAGGGTCCGAGGTGGCCAGACTGAAACACATGGCATCACTGTATGAAGTTTCTGACTGTTGGTTTGAGTCATGTGAGGCGATGCAGACTAGGTGGTTGGGATGCGCGGGACAAGAGAAACCAGTGGTTGGAGACTGACTCTATATGATATGGCTGAGAATCGATGTCAGTGGTGCAGATGTATACACACATTATCCTCATCTTAACAACGCTATACCGAATCTCACCATTTTGTCACTCCTCTTTCCTTTCTTCTCGTACTTTATATTTCTTTTGACTGCATTTTCTTATCTTCATCCTTCACCTCACTACCTTTCTACTTGATGTACTGACGTGAGGTGTGGCAACTCGGACCGTTACGCAGTAATGCCTGGTCCTATGTTGATAATGATTGATCGATTGAGTAACAGAGAAGGATTTGAAAGATGACGGAGCAATAAATCTTAATTTTCTGTTCTTTCTCCTTATACCAATGAAAGGATGAAGTGGGAAACTCAGTTTTGATGCATGAATTGAGCACGTAAATTACTAGTTGATTTGTTTACTGAAAGAATTTTTTGATCACTAACTGCAAACTGCCACCTCTGGAACAAAATAGTGACTGTAACGCTGCAGACATTCGATGTATTTTTGTAAGCTACAAAGAGTAGTAAGATGCTTGAATTATTATCCCATGTAAATCGGTTGATTATTTTATTGTGCAAGAACCCTATAAATATAAGCATTGGTGTGTAAGTTACGAAGCTATGACTTATTTGTCTAGGCAGTTGACTTTCAGTCAACCATAGGTTCGAACCCCGCCTCACCTACGGGATTTCGGGCGGCTAGCTCTCAATACCCTTGACCTCAATCTATTACATAAACATGTATGTGTTTGCTAAGAGTTTGTTTTACTTCTAGGTATGAAAATTTGTTTTAGATCAAGTTGAAGAAAGTCCTTCTTGGTGACATAGTTTGCCTCGACTTATTTCAGTAATTTTGCTTAACATAATTAATGTAAATTCTTCAAGAAGTCATTGTGCTTTCAAGGAAGTACGCGGCGTGAGATTCTGCCACTTTGACGCTGGCTAGAACGGTCAATAAATGTGTTGGTGCTATGCTTCCGTATATAGTCGATAAATAAAAATACTACTGTGGAATTAAACATGTTGGGACCAACAGTAGCCTTTTAATTATCTGAAAACAATATCAAGTAGTTCAGAATTGGTGTGAAACTGCTTACATAACTGTTTGTATTGCTTCTTCCTGGGAATGTTAGATGTTACTGCATATATTGTCATATGTACATATACACTAACTTTAAAATCTACTTCCAACTTTGCATTTAAACCTGATGGCTTTAGAATCTTGGTGAATCTGTCATAGTCGCATCTAGCTCTTCAAATCCGCAATTGTGTGGATATACTATTGCTCATGTACGTTCACCCGCTGAAATGAAGTTCGTCCCTGGACATAATGAAGTTTTGATTCCATCTCGTCGTAAGATCACTTTTACAGATGAATCAAGCGGTTATTCTAATCAACCAACCAATTCAGAATGGAGTGTACGTAATCTGACTACTTTAGAGTCTAACCTAGAACGCTTGGCAATTGGATTGGCTGTTCTTGATTCTGAAGGTCAAAGTATGACCGACTGTACACAGCTCAAAATTGAAGTACATGCAGTTGACCCTTCTGTCGTGAGAATTCTTCCAGGTAAGTCACTCTTATAGTAGAGTGTGTACGTGCATGGTTACTAGTGATTTAACAACTTTTTTTAAAGAATTCATTTTAAAAATCCTGACTAGTAATCCAACTCAACTAAGTTTTTATTATCAGAAACATCGAATAGCCATAGTTGTTAGGATTCCTTCTCTGTGCTGATGTAAGGCCTAACACAGTGAACAGATACGTGGGTATTCTTTTTTGTTCCTGTATGTTGAATAATCAAGGTACTTGGTCAGTACTCTGAAACAAGCTAACAAATAGGAAAGGATTTATCATATTAAATGTTTTACTGAATATCCCGCTGGATCATCATTCCATAATTGGTTTTTTAAGGTTTCTGCTCAAATGTGTATTTGTAACAGTCTCCGTATATACTGAGTTATAATATCTAACGTTTCCATTTCGAAGCTGAGTTTTTTTTAATATTCTGGAGTGTTCTTTCAACAATATCAGTCCATTCAGTCGAAAAAAGTTATGCACGTTTATCATTGAGGTTTTAGTTGACTCATTCAACAATGAATCATTTAATTCGAATGATAAGAGCTTCGTTAAGCAAAATATATGTAAAGGTGTTATATCTCACTATTTCGCCACCATCCTCCTAAGTTTATAGTTTCCTAACCATTCGATAATCTAGAGCAACTATTGAATCGCTGAAATGTATCAGATTCCACTGCTGATATGTTGCCATATAAACTTAATATAGTACTCTAGATTAAAAATATTACAGTAAATTAAGGAATTGATTGGTACTACTCTCAAAACTACTCATTTCACACACCATTTGAGCGGGATAGTAACCCCCTAATGTCAATCACATCACATAAAGCTTACATGGCAACATACCAGAGATACCGGGAGTCATCAGATTCTCTTAACAAGACCATTATTTTAGCTTATTATTCAGTCTGACTAAAATTGACAGATAGGCGGATCAGCGTGGAACCTAGTTCTTAATGATTTTATGTTTCGACAGGTAGGGTTAAAACTTGTCAAAATCTATTTCTTTCTGTAAAACATTTAGCAATTAGATGTTCTCGAAGCCATTTCCTTATCCTCTTACTTCAAATGTTTCACTTGGTACCAAAATCCTCGGACTTTCCTTCCTTTTTACTTATAGCTTAGTTTTTTTTACTTCAGAGATGTACTGTTTACTTTTACGCAGATATTAATCCTAATTGTTCGTTTTTTGTGAGTTACGAGTTACTAATGTTTGTAGACAGCAACCACTTGTTAATTTGTATGTTTCTCAGGGGGAATATAAGGAAACTCATTTCATCACCTGATATCAAATTGAGGGATTAAGGTTTACATTTTTGCTTTAAAGTTGGACTTACATGCCTCGCTTCTCCTGGAGAAACCACTGATGTGAAAATGACGTAGCACTCTACAGAAAAAGGAAAATTGTAGTTCAAAGCTTATGCAGTTTGAGAGTTTCGATAGCCGCTACCTGTTTACTTACCCGAAACAGAAGATAGATAGATAAAACCAACGTAGAACTTGGCACACAAGTTTATCGGTCCAAGTTGCCACACTTTACAGTAGTATGCAAAGAACAGGTGAATATAAAGACACTGTTAGCAAAGTAGAAAAAGTTGTGTGAGAGAATAAACAATCTGTGGATAACGGTTAGTTCAAATATTCAAGCTTTAGAAGACATCAAGGAGTAATTACATCTGCGCCACTGTGACCGGTTTTGAGCTAAGGTTCCTCAACCACTGATTTCTTTCATCTCGGGGCCGCAAACCAAATAGTCTCCTCACACTACTCAGCCAGACAGAGATTTCATGGACTGGTACTCCGTCTTGGTCTGGCCACGCTGAGCCCTCTTCCAACCTAATCCAGCTTCCTTTAACATGGCACATCGAGGTATACAGTGGCTTGGCATGCGCAACATAGGTCCAAACCATCTCAGTCAACTAAGGTTCACAGCCTCATTATGCAACTTGCCTATCTTGCCTAATACCCTTCGCCTGAACACAACATTTCTCACACGGCGATCCCACCATACACCACGAATCCTACCAAGGTACTTGTGTTCGAAAACCTACAGTCTCTTCATATCTTCTTTCAACGACCGCATCCTACAGTCGTACTATAGGGCAGAACAGAACGGATTTCAGCCCAGTATACTTATCCGTTACCAGACAGTCATATATCTCTTCATTCGGTGCCAGAGATGAGGCATGTTTGCAGATGCCAAACGGGCCTTCTATATCCAAGCTGAGATTCCATCACCAATGGACCTGTCTAGACTAGTACAACTCCTCAAATAAGTGTTGTCAACGCACTTCTCCAATTCACTCACTATCCTCAAACTGGGAATGGTTGCATCATCTTATATTTAACAGGTGCGAGATGTATGCCAAACCGAAACAGCATGGAATATGATGGGACAGCGCATCACTTCAAATTCCTGTGCTTCTCAATGGAAGATACAAAACGCACAAGTTAAGGTGAAAAATAGAAATAAGTAGTAGTAAATAGACACTAGTTGATAAATAAAGTTACAGTTTTCAAATGGAATAAAGTTCGGTAAGGAAAAGAAAAGAAGTGTGTGCTCCCCCTGCATTTTTAATTCGCACCTGGTTAAAATAATATTTAATAATTCTCCAGTCGCTTTTGCAATTTGTTTTACTTTCTATTGTGGTAATTGAAAATCTCATTTTCTTAACGTTCTTATGGTGTTTCAATGTACAGGTTTTTACTCGCCACGATTGAATTCATCTACTGAGTACGGACCATTCGATTTAAAGGAATGTTTACATTTCTATGTGGTTGGAGTCAATGTTGGCTACACAGAAATAAGAGCAGTTTACAATCCTTCACCAGTTGACATGTTTGATGATTCTTTAACTATTACTTCGCGCATTCCTGTTGCCTCCTATCGTAAAATCAATTTCATTGATCCTACATCTGAAACCACTTCTGTTGCATTGGGTTCAACTCGAGGTATACTGGTAAGTTTAAATTCACTAAGTGTATTCAAGCCAATTTTTCTCGATAAATTGTCCTTAGTAATGTAACAATTAATTGCTTCTTCTCTGACAGACATAACTGTTGGTGTCTTCTTCTGGGAAAATTTTCAAAGCCAAAAGATTAACTTCTAGTATACTGTTCGAGAGGTCTTCAGTTAGGGCTAATAAATGCTGACTGCTTTACTATTCCAAGTGATTACGCTTGAACACGTGAAAAGTCACCGAGAACGTGAGTTTACTAGATAGTACGGCACTCCTCAAACGTTTGCACCTAGCACCCTACAAAAAATCGAGACATGAACTATCAGGTCTTGTGATAGGCACTTTACCATGAAGCCATCAAGTTTGGAATCCATTGGCCCACTTTTTCCATAATTGGTTAAGTAGTCTTGAACTGGCAATATGCATATCAGTGTAAAATTTTAACTTATTTTCTTTCATGACACATAACTGATGTAAACTATTACTATTTGATGAACTGTTTGAGTATTCTGCTATCCTTTAGTCTAAATTATACCCAAATGTTTCACGTAAAAGCCTATTGGTTCTTGGTTATATGTGGAGGGTTTCGAGACTTGGCGACACTTTTCCAATCAAATCTCTAGTTTAAATTGCATTAAGATAAGTTTGACGTTTCTCCTACGTACAGCACAATTTATTCTATCTTAAATAACGGTGTAGAGGTGCATTGAACTAATCATGAAAAGACTTTCTAAGTACCGTCAATTTCTCCACTAGGATGATCGTTAGAAGGGCTGAGCAAATAGTTTATTATTTCTGAGAAATGCACTGACATTGTTGCCTCGTTTTAAGTTTCAATACTTCTGAAAATCACAAAATACTAAGAAAATGAAACTGACATTAGGAAATCACCTTGTTCATTGTATCCTCATCAAGTCTAGTTTCTAAAGTCATCCAACATAATTTGAGCCTATCTAACTTGCAAGTCAAAATACTATTTCATGTAAACGAGTATATGATAGTTCCATAAACTCTTGCGGGCTTTTCCTTCTCTGACTGACTAACACTGACAGAATTAGTGTAGAACCTTGCACACAGTTCCATTGACTCAAGTTGCCACAATTCACTGTAGTATGCAAAGAACAGGTGGGTAGAAAAAGTAATATCACTGTAGATAAAGTAATGTGGAGCTGTGGCGTAGTGGTTTAGGGAGATGAATATCATTCATTGGGTCACGGATTCGTACGCTGCTCCCACTGCCGAGGTTTTGGCAAAGAGGTAGTATAGCTGGTCGTCACTGCTTACTCACGGATGTGCACAAGGTGATTGAGTGGGTTTCGTTTTTTCTTTCGTTAGATAAATTATTGTGAAAGAATAATACAAGCGATTATACTAAAACTATACCCTTCGCACAAGAAGTGACTATCGTGGCTCGGTGTTGTAGTGGACAACGCTCTGGCGTTTGAAGCTATCGTCCGCAGTCCAAATCTCAGTGGAAACAACATCACTCACTGGGAGGCAGGTACATCCAGCTGACGAATCCCAAATAAGGCAAAATGTACATCCTGGATTCCACTGCTAGCCACTGTCCATCATTACTATAAAGAATAAACAGTTTGAAGATAAAGGTTAGTGCGAATATTCAAGCTTTAGATATCAAGGAGTGAATACATCTACGCCATTGTGACCAATTTTCTGCTGTTACGAAGACCACTCAACAACTGATTCCTTTCGTCTCGGGGACTCCAACCAGGCAGCCTACATCTCTCCTCACACGACTAAGACCAACAATCAGGGACTTCATCGACTGATACCAGGTTTTAGTTTTCCTATTCTATGTTGGATTATTATTTTCTCGCAATTGTTTCATTGTTTTTCAACATTATCTTAACGTAGGTTACCCAAGGACCGCAACCGTGGCCTCTTCAGCCATCAGAACATTATATTAAAGTTTTTGCTCAACCTGACTCAGATAAGGATGTTTCATTACTTCCAACATTGGTCGATGAACCACACTTCTTGAAAAAAAACGTTTACAAAAGCAACAGTATAGAAAAGGATACTAAGTCATCAGTTCATAGTTCTGCTAATGATCAGACAGATGGTCAAACTCGTCTAATTTCCTTCAATCTTCGATGTGAAGAGATTGGAGTCTTTGAGTTTGTTATTGAAATTGGGAATCATCCTACATCTACCAATCCACATCCTATGGTTTTATCATCCAAGTTCACGTGAGCTTTCATTTTTATTCTATTGTATGACGTGTCCATTGACTAATTTTTTATAGCGCTTGAAAAATACCTTTGTACGCCTTAAGTTTATTTTTTATGCAGTTATAAATTCTAGGTTTGAAACAACCAGCCTCATATAACACTTTTAAAACAGGTTGTCTTTTAGAAAGTAAACAGTTCTTTGTAGCTTGTTTGTGTTTTTTCAACGATGGTTACTTCCATTTGTAATTCAAGACTTCGTACAACTGCTCATATTGTCCATGTAGTTTTTCCTCAAAGTAGCTGGTGCTCAGACTCTAGTATCCTTAAAATGTGGATGCTTTCATCTATTGTTTATCAGGATATTTTTCCTTTCATGGTTATTTGATGTGTCATGGCGCCGTCGTGATATTCGTTTGTCTATTAAGGGTCGCGTGTACTGCACAGCAGTCTGCTCTCTTCTACTGTATGGCTGTGAAACATGGCCATTGAAGGTGGAAGACATGACAAGGTTTCAGGTGTTTGACCACCGTTGCCTTAATAGTATAGGCAGTATTCCGTGGTGTCACCATATGAGTAACTCAGAAGTCAGGTGTAGAGTTTTAGGGAGAAGAGGTAAGTCAGTTGATGATGTTGTGAACCTTCATTGACTGAGATGGTTGGCTGGGCACGTACTACGTATGCCCTGTCACCGATTGCCTCGTCACGCAATGTTGGCTGAGGTGGGTCCAGGCTGGAAAAGGGTCCGAGGTGGCCAGACTGAAACACATGGTATAACTGTATGAAGTTTCTGACTGTTGGTTCAAGCCATGTAGGACGATGCAGACTAGGTGGTTTGGATTCGTGAGACAAGAGAACCAGTGGTTGGAGACTGACTGTATGTGATATGGCTGAGAATCGATGTCAGTGGTGCAGATGTATACACACATTATCCTCATCTTAACGCTTTACCGAATCTCACCATTTTGTCACTCTTTCCTTTCTTCTCGTACTTTATATTTCTTTTGACTGCATTCACTTATCTTCATCGTTCACTTCACTACCTTTCTACTTGATGTACTGAGGTGAAGTGTGGCAACTCGGACCGTTACGCAGTAATGCATGGTCCTATGTTGATAATGATGATGATATTTGATGTATCACCAATCTCATCCGGATTAGGAGAATGTTGACTTGTGGATTGGGGTCTGCATGATTGAAGAAACTAATGACTGAAGACGCTAGGTGAAATGACTCAGAATCTATCTCTCTAGCTCAGCTGTGTCTATGCATCAAACAACCACTTTGGCCTTATCATCTTTTATATCATCTAGCCTGAGTAATGTTGGCGGGCGTTTTGAAACATTCGTCACCAGATGAAAATTACTCTTAAAAAAAAACAGCTGAATTTTGGAAAATATACGCGGGACTAATTTGCGAAGGATTTAAAATTTGCACGATCCGGCTTGATATTTCTTACAGTTAAGTAGTTTTTCAACTGCCCAGCTGTGGTGTCAGTCAACGGGGCCTACTAAGTTGAAAACCACCTGTCATCCAAGATTGTAAAGTGAGACTTGTGACACAAAAGTGTCATGAATTATTGAAATATACCACTGAACAACTATTCAAACTGTCCAGTAGTATATTTATATTTGGACTAATTGTATGCGTAATCTACGTCAGAATTACGCTTTATCGGAAAGTGACTGACATTTTGTACTGCACATTTTTTGATTCTGAACTACATTATGCTATTTCATAAGGTATGCATTAAACAACTGCACCCATGTGCAGGTGCGTGAAATTGACTAAATATCATGTCTACTGGGTACTCATGGTACTGCATAAGTGTCCAGATCACAGTTAGTAAATGATGTTTAAGACCTGTGGCTCACTTACTGAAAGGTGATTACCCCTGGTCAATTGGTCATAGCTTCAGGTAAATGAATGTTAATTGTTTTGATGACCGGAGTTTACGAACACTATCCTCCAGTAAATGTGAAGTGGTAACTTAATTAAAAATTAAAGGTATTTTTTTGTGTTAACGCCGTAACTATACCTAAGAGATGACTCAAGTCACCGCTTCTGTACTTATCATTCAGAATTCTGTCAGTAATGAGTAATGGGTCTCAACCCCTCCGCGTGAATACATCAATCAGAAACTTATGTATTGTTGAACTGAAAGAGATTTTTAAAAAGCGAACCGTTTGCCTATTGTTTTCCATGCATAAATGGTTTATTTCAAGCTTACCCTTATGAATAAAAATGTGTAGTTACACTAGTACATGCTATTTGTCTGTTTCGTCGATTACAAGTTGAATAGAAAGGAATTTAAATCGTTTTGTGGTGGTAGCTTGTGATGATAGAGTCTTGCGACTTTTTCCACTTCATCGTATTACCTTCTTATTTGAGAGTAAAACAGTCCGTAACTGGTGGAGCAAAACTGTTGGATGTGAGGACAAATACTCAACGATGACATTAATTGATGGTTGCTCTATGTCGTGAACTGACAGAAGTCTGAAACTGTCAACCACTGAAGTCCGACCCAGTAGCTGAATAGTAACGTGCTGGTCACGGAACCCAAAGGTCCTGGGTTTGATCCCTGACGGGGTCCTGGATGTGCACTGCTGAGGAGTTCCATACTAAGACAAAACAGCTATCTAGTGCTCCCAGGTTTCCAATGTTCCTTCGTCTGATATCAATCCATGATGAGTACCAACTTGAAGTAAAATAACCGTTGGAAAACCGAAAGTATTATACTTTTAACATTATCTGTTAGTTTTTTTGTTCTCTTGGTGTTATATTGCACCTCGCCCGGTGTTGTTATTGTTGTTACTTTTGTGTTATGTCATAATGTAACCGACTGAAATATATCATACCTGATTTTTCTTGTTTTACCAGGATAATGTGTGATGTTGCAGTTAGTTTCAGTTGATACCTCTGTTCCAGTTCCCCTCGCTTCCACTGCATTATCCACCTTGTCCACTAGCTAACGCATCTGCTGACTGGTTGCATGATAAAGTAAGTAATGATATAGTTTAAAGCGAATATTCTCTCCCCCCCCCCTTCCTCTACTACCAATGTTGAATCTATTTTTATTCTCTTTCATATCATCTTCGTAAAGAATGTTGGTAGATCAAAGTTAAGTAGAAAAGATGACAATAAAGTTACCGTTTAATTCATTCACTGCTGTAAAGGCTGTTAAGTATCCTATGATACTTGTGTACCCCATAGTTAATTCCTGATTCGAAAAACAAATTTCATTATTTGACATAAAAATTTGTTAATCTTGGCGAACTGACTATCAAAACATTTTCTATTCGACTAACCTAATTTAGGATAGATTTATATTTTGAAAGTGCTTTCGAGATGTCAGTCAATGAGACTTTGAACCAACACCAGTTCATGGAATCCCGGTATTAACTATGTATCAATATAATAATAATAATAATGATAATATGTTGTAATATGCACTCTGTTCTACTATACGGCTGTGAAACATGGCCATTGAAAGTGGAAGATACAAAAATGCTTCAGGTGTTTGACCACCGTTGACTTCGTAATATAGGACGTATTCCGTGGTGTCACCACGTGAGTAATGCAGAAGTTAGGTGTAGAGTTTTGGGGAGAAGAGGTAAGTCAGTTGATGATGTTGTGAACCTTCATTGACTGAGATGGTTGGCTGGGGCACGTACTACGTATGCCTTGTCACCGATTGCCTCGTCACGCAATGTTGGCTGAGGTGGGTCCAGGCTGGAAAAGGTCCGAGGTGGCCAGACTAAAACATGGTACCAATGTATGAAGTCTCTGACTGTTGGTTCAAGCCATGTAGGACGATGCAGACTAGGTGGTTTGGATCCGTGGGACAAGAGAAACCAGTGGTTGGAGACTGTACGTGATATGGCTGAGAATCGATGTTAGTGGTGCAGATGTATACACACATTATCCTCATCTTAACGACGACGCTATACCGAATCTCACCATTTTGTCACTCTTTCCTTTCTTCTCGTACTTTATATTCTTTTGACTGCATTTTCTTATCTTCATCGTTCACCTCACTAGCTTTCTACTTGATGAAATGACGCGAAGTGTGGCAACTCGGACCGTTACGCAGTAATGCCTGGTCCTATGTTGATAATAATGATGATGAAAGTGATCAATCTTCGTTTCTATACTTTTATAATGCTATAGAAAGAGTCTTTAACGTTATCATTCTGTCTTCACAATGAGGTATTGACTGTTAAATGCATACCGACAGCTCTACCTATAAAACTTCAAGTTTAGTAGAGTATTACAATTGCCACACCTTCATGATCTTTGAATATTACTCAGCATATCATAATCTACCTTTCTGCACATATTTCATTTCAGTTAATTTTACCAAATACCATACAACTGCTGTTGGCTTAGTTCTTTTTGGATCAGAAAGTCAAAAATTAGAATCAGTTGATTCGTTCCTATTCAATGTGATCATCTCTCCAAGTGAGAAATTTAATTTAGTGGAAAATATCAATCCCCCTGTTTATTATGATTACTTGAATTAGTGAGTTTATCATTTCCATGTATTTTTTCTTGCTTGATACAACTTGTAACCAGAACATTTTAATATCTACTAATCTGTGTAATATTTTGCGTTGCATAATATGCGACAGAGAAACGATTATTCTCTGTCTAACTGTACACAGTCTTATCCACTAAAATAAGTTTTGTTTATTTGTTTACTACTGTATATATTAACTGTCTTCTGATTCTTATTCATCATGTTCCAAACTTCTTCGCAGGTCCTGTTGATTCTATAGTTTTACGTTCACTAATCTTTTCGTAGACATTCTATTCACCTACAAGTAATAAAATCTCCTGTTGAAACGTTACTACTAGAGGAATTACCCTTATTACAGTTCTGATTGTCATGTTGTCTTCATCGTATTGATTCAACTTGTATGCTTCTCAACCAGTACATAAACGTATCCATTTTGTCTCATTACATTTTTACAAAATAACCATGACAACCACTTGTCTTGATTTTCAGTTAAATAAATAAAAATGATTCATTTTGTTTGTTTGTCTAGTGATAAAGAGGCTTTCGGTCATCCTACGCAACCACAACCACATTTCTTTATTACACCAGCTAATCTTGGCCATTCTTCTGGGGATATCTCAGTACAAGTCATAATTCGTTCAAGCTTGCCTCAGAGATATGCCCCTTTCCTACCTGGTATTCAAAGTTTACAGTCTGTTTTGAATGTGTATTTGAGTCCTATGGTCCATGTGATTCCTAGTCATAAAATTCTACTTTTTTACCATCCAGATGTAAGTTACTTTTCCGTTTATTTTTCATAGTAATGAAACAGAATTCGCCTACTGAGACTGTTTTTAAGGTGAATTCATGAGGTAATATATTGTTTTCTTTCTAGGCTTCATCTTCTGTATACATCCATGGAGGATCTGGTCACTACCATTTAGAAAGTTCAGGAGATTTTACAGACTCACATCACCATCCACTTCGTATAACCGAACAGTCAAACGAACCGACTGTAATTACTGGTATTATGTCCAGTATAATGCCAAGACGCGCTTACAAGTTACAACCGAAGCATGTAGGACATGCAATCATCGAGACAATTGATTTATGCTTTCCAGCGTTACTAGAATCGAACCAATTAATCGAAAAGCAATTTAGTCCAGCTCAAACCGATTTCAGTGTAGATGTGATTGGTTTAAGTGCAATAAATCTTCGGGTTCTTGACAGAATTCAACTTGGGGATGAGGTTTGTTCACATTTATTACTCATTATTTCATCCTTTAACATATATGTAGAACAAATATCTCGTGTTACTTCATATTTAGTATCATTTGACTATCTGAGATAACCGTAGTTTGTCAGACTAATATGTATACTGTGTGATGATTAAAGGTGAAATAAAAATTCGGCTACGGTCCCAATATTTCCTATTGCGATGATCAATTTATATAGGAGTAATGGTTAAGTTCCATTTCATCTACTCCTGTATATCTCACTCACCTTTCTTGTATACCATAATTGTCTTATAATATGGGAAATTAAATTTTTATCTCATATAATCGTTATTTTCATGTATTCATTCAATTTCTATTTTGTTTCTTTTCTGTCTAAGATGTGAGGAAAAATTGATTAGACACTCAACTCACTTATGATTAGTTAACTACTTTAAGTAGCTATACTCTAATTAAATTATAATATAGACGAGAATGTCTTGTGTTTCAGTATTCAAAGTTCTTTACCACCAAAACGCACTCGGAATATAAAGGATAAATCATAAAATGTTGCTTGATTCACTGCTGACATCGAGAAAAGTTTGTACATCACTAGTTTACATGCTAACTTAAAAAGTTGTGATATTTGAGATTGTAGAGAAGATTTCTAATTCAAGACGAGGATAATGATGGTTTACTATCCTCCAAACTTTAAGTTTGTTCTCGGACGTTTCATCATCAGACTAGGAGAGTTTGTCAGCACTTACTTCATGAGGGAGTAGCAAGTGCCGGTTATGAGACCTCTGAAGACAGTATTCAAAGCTTGGAGAACACCAAAAAAAAATTATTAGTCATAATATTTATTGTATTGTATAAAATAAGGATAAAATCACACTTCTTACATTGAAAAATGGTGTATTATACAATAACTGCAAAAAACACCCTGCCAACTTTTCTCTCCATCTGTCTTTCAAAAAAAAAATACTTGTTCTTATTGGTCTAATAAAAGAACTAGTAGTCTAAGGATGCATCTGTCACAAAATTATTCTTTGTCTTGCATGGACAACGATTTTGTGTAGTACACTTAGGTATTACAGTTTTACAATGTTTATCAGATGTCCCTTATTTGTTTTTTGTTTCGATGACTTCTTGTATTTTGTCTTTTAGCACTTTGTTGATATAACAAAACATACTGAATTATATAGACAATCATAAAAATGAATTCACATTGAAATCTTTATGTTTTCACCTAGTATTACTTTTCATGTATAGAAACATTTTTTTTAAGGAATATATGGCTCTTTAATTCCGCTAGACGTTTGCCTATTGAAGTCGAAAATTTCACTTCGATTCGACTGGCCTTACTTTATTATGTTGTTAGCCTTTACAAAGATATGGCTCACATCTTACGTATTTAGCTTTTGGATTCTTTTCATTCTTTAAATAATGAAAATAAATAGGTTACTGATGAAATTATACCCTATTGTATATGTATATACGATTGTACAGCTCTAGAAAATCTTCTCTAAATTATCTTATCTTTTCTCTATGAAAATGAATACCTAAATAGTCATTTTATTAATAGAATTTTTATTGTCATTGTATAATTCATTGATGTTTTTACACTCTAGGTTACGGCTTTCATAGAAGCTATTGGTACAGATGGACTTGTTTTACCTGCGAAGTTTGCTCGGTTGTTAAAGTTGTCAATAGTTAGTGATCATGTCACTTATTCACCATCTATTGGTCATAAAGAATCATATGATTCAAAGAGGATACTTGGTGTACCAGACACTGATATCCCTGCGGAATCATTCTGGATTTTTAACTCATCAACACTTGAACAGCCTTGTCTAGGTCAATTCAGTGTTCGAGGAATGGCTCTGGGCACTTCTCGATTGATGGTATCGTCTGTTGTACCTGGCTTCTCAAGAAATAAGCCTATCACTGTCCAAAGTAACGTTGTTGAGATTCAGGTAAGCTTTATTGTTCGTCTTTTGTCATGAAATTGTCCTGACAAAGTCATAAATTATTACTGATCCATTATTTTCCTCCAGGTATTTGCACCTCTACGGTTAACTCCATGTAATTTCAATCTCCTCCTGGGTGCTGAATATGAAATTCATGCAGTGGGTGGTCCTAGTCAGGCTTCATTAGAATTCGTTCCTGAACCTACTTCTGGTCGAATAACTGTTTTGAAGGCAAATCCTACTAGTGCCTTGATACGTGCATCTGAATCTTTGGGTTTGGCTACTATTCGCGCTCGAGCAGTCGGCATTGCGGGTGGCAAGCACTCTGGAATTTGGAAGGAAAGCAGGATGACTATATGGTCTATTCAGAGGTATATAGTGCTTTTTATGATTCATATTACGAAATATTTCATTTTAGGCAATTTGCAGTATTCATGTCGTTGCGCTGTCTGGTGTACGTATTGGATGCCCTCTGGCCAACATGAATGAGGTCATTTCTCAAATCCATGACCCGTCAAGTACTCATGTCCCGGAATTGTCGAATTCCGATGGATCAGACAAACATTTTCTTCTTGCATGCCCCCTGGACATCTCAATGACTGTGGTTCAGCACCTTTATGGGCCGAAGGTATACCATACAGCCCATACTATTCTGACGATCAGTTAGGCTCAAATTCAGTTTCCCCTCTTGGAATGGCTGCTGTTTACCCTCCGCTACGTTTTCGGTGGCACTTGAACCCACCTGAACCTAGTTCCGTAGCACGTTTAGAATATTGGCTTGATCGACTTGGCGTTGATGTAGATGAGGTGAGCAATATAAATTAAACAGTTTCTTGAATTATATATCGCTATTTTGGCACATTCGACTGTGCAGACTAAAGAGCAATAAGCAAGCGCACACTAAATATATTTGTGAAATCCCAACAAAGCAAACGAAGTAGTGCTTACTATATTGGGCAGTCACTCTGCAATATCTTCATCCATGCTAAAAGCACCAAACCTCCAAGGAATCTAATGGGACTAGAGAGTTCACAAATTAAATCTGCAGTTGCTCTTCATGCCATCTATCAAAACCATAATATGGATATTGAAAACATCAAAATTATTCAGAAAGGTAGTATTCATCATAGACTGACTTCAGTTAGCTAACCACTGAAACCATGCGAGTATTGGACTGAGCGCAGTGCGCACCCACAACCCAGCTGAGGATCGAGTCCACAACCTTCAGGTCTCGCAGTGAGTACGTTATCATTCAGCCACTTGACAGGATATAATGGTTCACATTTTTCTACTTCTGTCAATTCCCGTTGGTTGTACTACATTTTTACCACTGTTCTGGCCGTTGATCAATACACAGTTGTACAAATTTAAACAAAAATTGTATGAGCATTGAAATGGTATTAATTCACAAATTTGTTATCATTTATAGCAATTTACTTGGTTGAGGCTAGCAGAGGAGTCGAGGACGTGCAGTTCATCCTATTTTGGACTAGTCAGCTGGATGTACCCAACACCAACGTCAAGTCAGTGCTCCTGTATGGTTCAGAGACATGGCGCGTCACGAAAGGCATTTCCAATAAACTACAGACATTCATCAACAACTGCTTACGCTCGCTACTGAAGATCAGATGGCCAGAAAGAATAAGCAACAAGGAACTCTGGGAACGAACCAACCAAGAACCTATCACGCAACAAACATGCAGGAAGAAGTGGAGATGGATTGGCCATGCACTGAGAAGGCCGACTGAGGACATCACGCGTCAGGCCCTCGAGTGGGATCCCCATGGGAAGGACGAGTTGGACGTCCGAGAGTGACATGGAGGAGGTCGTGCGAGGAGGAAATGAGAGCTTGTGGGCTGTCGTGGGACCAGGTTCAAAAGATCTCAGAGGACAGGATGAAATGGAGACGTGCTACTGAAGCCCTATGTTCCACTAGGAACCCAAGGGACTAATAATAATAATAGCTGGATGTACCTGCACCCTATTGATTGAGTGATGTTGTTCCCACTGAGACTCGAACCTTGTACCCATCGCTTCAAGTGCAGAGGCGTTACTCGCTAGGCCACTGAGGCACGATAACCACCTTTTGTACAACGGGTGTTGGTTATTACTATTTATCAATATGCTTGTAATTCTCCGTTGTTTTACTGGATCGAATTGTTCAACCTCTATTAATATCATTTATCATTTGTGAAATTCACGGTTTGGCATATTATGGTGTATGTTTTTGGAGTGTATACCGGAGAATGTTTTCTGTGTTAACCGAAGATATGTATAAAATTCTTTTAAACAAAAATGCAGTTACGATAGCTGTTTCCCCTGTACATATCTTGACATTAACCAGTAGAAAACAGGATTGACTCATTCAGAAGCTTTTGTGTAATCATGTCAAGTTATGGACTAGCTTTTGTTTCCTGGAATAGAACGGAAATTAAAAGTTTCTATGTCCTACTACCTATCAACAAAACTTTTAACACTAGAAGGTTGCTGATTGCCTCTGGGATGGTCAAGCACAATGAAATGTGAACTTCTGACTGCAGTGTTGGTAAACTCATCGGTAATCGGAAAGTATTCGAAATTACTAGTGCAGTATTGGAAGTTCGGTTGTTTGAATTCATGATCACTGGTGGGATCATAGCTCCTTTAACCTTGTATATAGAGCATTCTACACTCACTTGGTATGTAAGTAATCTTTTTCAGGTTTGTTACATCTTTTTGTTTTTCCTTCTAGAGATTCTAAGCCACTAGTGTTGTTTTTATCCCTTTTTACTTAGAATCATTCAGCATCTGGAATGGTTCTTGTTGGTCTTAAGCCTGGTAGTGTAACTATTCACTTGACAGTTGAGTCTGTAGAACCCAACGCAAAGCAGATAGTTGCAGTATCTACTGATGGAGTATTAACTGATCGTCTTCATGCTCAGCTAACAGTTGTTGTTTTATCACGACTTGGATTGAGTTCACCATCTCGAGAACCTCAACAGATCATTTTATCGCCTAATTCACAATTGAACTTGATTCCATGGACTGATTTGTAAGTATTTCTTCCTTTTTGAAAAAGTATCTATTCATTCACGTATATAGTTTATTTGACGTTTTGTCAAACAACCTTTGGATTTTAAAGCAGGAATATTATAATAAAAGGCAACTCATCTCTATAATGCACCAGTGTGTCAACTGTTTTCATCAATCAAGTTGAATAAGCTTGTGGATCATTTATCTAAGTACTCGGTTTTGAATCACTGCGTTTGAACATTGCTCCATCTACCGATGTAAGGGCAGCTAGGTAATATCACCAGGCTTCACACAATAAGTGTAGTTCATTGCCCTCTGCACAAACGTATGTACGGTTAAATTTTGAGGGAGTTGTGGAGATTTGGAATTATTTCAAGTTGTCATTCATCGTAGACTGACATCAGTTGGAGGAACAAAGGAAACCTGGGAGCACTGGACAGCTGTTTCGTCCTATTATGGGACTCCTCAGCAGTGCGCACCCACGACCCTGCCAGGGGTCGAACCCGCGACCTTCGGGTTCCGCGGCCAGCGCGTTACCATTGAGCCACTGGGTCAGAATCCAATGCTCCATATTTCCAACTTCTGTTAGCTCACGATATATAGCGCAACCGCCACCCAATGTCAACGCTGAGTATCTGTCCTCATGGCCATCAGGCTTTGACTCCACGGTTTCTGAGTCTGTTCCGATTCGAGTCTTGTTGATTTAATCGATGGTGGATATCAGTCTGTATCCATTTGAGATACAACTTCGTATTGAATTTATGAAGATATCTTGGTCGGAATTACTCAATTAAAATCCCATCATCTTTAATTAAAACGCTTGTTAGTTAAGAGTGGAGTCAGTTTCATTGTTGTTGGTTTATTTGAATCTCCAGATGAATAAACGCACGAGTTTACTATCTTTTTATTAAACCCTATAGTTATAAAAGAATATATTCCTTTATATTAAAGATTTTTATAGCTAGAGATATTAAAGAAGTTTGATGCATGCATAGTTATTTTTTTCACCTCTATAGTCAAAATAAATTGAACAATTCAATGTATTACTGTCTTGTGATGTATGGACCTTTTCTGTATGATTTCTGACTAATGTAGTTATTTGTGAAATATTTGTTCAGCAAACCAAGAACTAACCAACTACAGTTATGAATCCTTCACAACGTATTTCATTTGCCACTTTTCACTTTATCGGTATAGCTGATATATATATAACATTTTGGAAATGAAGTTGAGATTTCAAAGAAAGTCATCTGGGGATCCGAGATCATATAATCATCATCTTCGGTTGTAAGCATGCAGGTGTCAAGTGTAAAGTTACACACTCAATGTTGTTGTTTATTATTAAATGTACTGGATATAGACATTAAAACCAATCAGGTCTTACAGAAGTAGCATAGAATGACTTGCAAAAACTTACTGTAGACATGGGGAGTTGTGGCTTATTCATGTAGAGATTTGACTTTCAACCAGCGGGTGGCGGGTTCAAACACCGGTCCACCTACCGAGGTCTAGCCAGCCAGATAAGTAGTATCATTATCCCTCACACAATAGGTGCGGCTCATTGCCTAATGCATGAATGTGCACAACGGTGATGAATGGATTTCAATATTTTTATTGTTGATCTTGCGTGGTTATAAACGTGACTACCAAATTTTATCCAAGCTGTATGAGTTGCTGCTGATTTGATAAACGGATGGTGATTAACGATGTAACAAAAACTTGTGTATCTGCAAGAGTTGGAATATAAATTTCCCGTTTACCAGCTTGATACTCAACCATATCTTCCAATTCAATCAATAAAACGCCGAATGAGTAACCCAGAGATATCTGATTCAAAACATTTCATGACACCACACGGTTTCGTTTTAACTTCAGTGCCACTGAAATACATCCCTTCAACTTTTATGAAGTTTTTTGTATAACAGTCCTACTAAATCTGGTTCAGCTAACTAGGGCTAGAAGCGTTTCTTTTTCTTCCAGATTATCATCTGTAGTAGTATCGTGTACATGCTTCGGTTGACTTTGTTTGGTCATTCTTCGGTTGATTTCGCTAGACGCATACCATGACTACGAGCTTTCATTGCTCAGTACCAATAGTACTAATGGTTTGTCTCCGATGACATTTTTCTGCCTATTGTATCTCAACTAATATTATCTTCACTCAATGGTCATAGCCACGTACAATTTCGTGGACTCACACAAACATGTTATCAATATCAAAATAAAGAGGAACATCTACCATATAAATATTCCATTTTCGTATAACTTACTATTTGTTACTCCTCCTAATCAGTATCATTTTTCTCTTCTAGACGTTCCGACAGCATTTTACGCTACAAAGTTTCAACCTTTTCTCATAACGGGAATGTATCATTGGATCATACTAATCAGATAGTAACTATCACTTCAGATGGTATTTTACGTGTGAATGATAAATGTGCGGATATAGGCTCACTTTGTAGAATTACACTTCAAATTGAATCAGTGCCAAATGGAAATTTATTGAGTACAAAATACACTCATGACTTTAATAGTCCACTTACGCAAACATTGATCTTGAATATATTGGTTAAAGTACCACGTTTTATTATGCTTTCTGCACCACATATTGTTATTCCCCGAAATGATGAATCGTCGAAGATACTTGGTCTTCCAGTTGGTGGTCCATATAAAATAGAAATTTCATATCATGATGAATTAGGACGTGTATTCGATGCCGTTTCAAGCAAGTTCAATCTTTTTTCAAAAAAAAAAGATTTATGTCTATTTTCATTTTTATCACTGACTGAAACAATTTTGTGTGATTTACCGAAATAATGCGTTACTTCGTAGTTATCAGTGTTTATTGGTGAACACTTCTAATGCCTCAGTCATCCGAATGAACTGGTTCATAATTATCATTGTATATTGATAAGGTTCATAGGAGAAATCATCTCATTACGAATAATTCATTTATTCATATAAATTAGAAAAGGTACCAGAGGCTGGTTTATCTATCACTTGGTATCCTGCTGTCATTTATACAGTACTGAAACGTCTCGTCGCATGTTCTCTTACTGTTTATCAAAACTTGGTATCTCTATAATAACGGGAGTATGTTATAGTTTACTTGGTGACCAGTAAGGTATCCAGGATGCGCGTTTCTTCCCATTTGGGACTCCTCAGCTGGATATATCCGCACTCTACGTAGTGATATTGTTCCCACTGAGACTCAAACCCAATCCTCATCACTTCAAATGTCACATTATTCTCCCCTGGGACACGGTAGCTGCCCCTTGCACAATCAGTATCAGTCATTGTTTGATGCTCGTAGTTCCCCGTTGCTACTCAGGATCGAATTGCTCTACCTGTGTTGGCAGATGAGCTTCTATGCGAAAACCTTAACTACTGCCTGAATACCCACTATATTATACTTTACTCGGTGGCTAGCGGTGAAACATTGATGCTTTTGTTCACGCCAGCGGGCTTATTTAGGAACTTTCTTCGCAGTATACCTTGTTTAAATAATGTGCCTAATAGTCATTGCAGCTTTTTACTAATAAATTTTCACTGTTTACATTTTAGATGACTTCTACCAATTAAAAGCTTCACTTCACCGATCAGATTTATTTTCCGCTCATTTCATAAGAGATTTTGTGACTGAAGAACATTTCCCTACTACTGATGACTTCAAGTTATACAATTCAGCTCGTTATGCTGCATTTGGCATTGGTATTCATGCCTTACCACTGGCTCAAAATGATGATGGCACTGGTCTAATTCAAAGTATTAGGAAGACTCAACTCGACAAGGATCAGCATTGGACCGTCATGCATATCGCACTGTCCAATAAAATTGTTGGTTTATTACCCAGTTACTTAAGCCTACCATACACTAACTCACTTAATCTTCTCGGTTTAACGTCTTTGGTAGAAGGTCAATGGATGTGTTTGCCGAAGTTATCTATATCATTAAGTCTAGGTTAGTTGATATTTACTTTTCAATCGCCGCGCTTCTGTATTGTTCATGTAATGAAAATAATCGCCTTATGAATTTAGCGTTCAGTATTCTTACTACTTATTATAGGTACCCAGTAGTGTGCTTCGCAATGTGGAAATAATGCATGCAATCTTCGTTTTTCACCTGTATTCATTGTGTATTTGATGCCGTGGCTTTCACTAATCAAGCCTTTATTTTCTATCGTATTCAATATTTTGCATTCCTGTAGCGCATATTTTCTTTCTAGAGATACCTTTGGGAATCCTTTCGAAGTGTAACAGCATAGTAAAAATATGTGTCATATTATTCTATCTGTAATAGATAAAAATCGAAAATGCACCTTTTACAAAACATCTTCCTATTAACCTTGATATGTGACTATGGAGAGTAATTTGCGTCCGAAACGTTATCGATTCAGCAGTAATATTTCGCTACATGATACACCTAATCAACCAATCGAAAAAAAACGTTGCTCACAAAGTAACCAAACCAATTTTTCTGAATGCAACTTACTCTTGTATTTAGTGTTGATGACGTCATCTAACCGGGTGGTGAAATGTCCACAATAAATATCAATGCTCAAAGAACATGGAGCAATTATCTTCTTCATTTTGAGCCATAAATCTTGTCATACCATGTACGGAACTGGATATAAATTCCTATGATGCTACATTTAGCTATTTATGTCTTAAAATAATGGGTGCATTCACTAGCTGTAAGATCTACAGGCAAAACCAACTAGTTAACAGAAGAGGCATGGCAGCAAAGTCGGGACTTCAAGTGATGACGATACTCAACCAACATCAACAACAAGCATCGTTCACCATCAACAGGACAAACCTAAAGAAAGTAGCCTCTTTCACCGACCTAGGCAGGGCAGCATCGTTTCAACTACAGATAGCACAGATAAGGATGTCAAAGCAGACAGGATAGGAAAGACAGCAAGACAGGCTTCGTGCATTAACCTGAAATCAGTGTGGAGATCTACTGCACTGCACAAAGCGTGAACAACATCCGGATTTCAACACTAATATCCTATCAAGTCAGTGCTTCTATGTGATGACTGAGAGACTTGGCGGCGCGTTACGAAAAGCATTTCCAACAAACAACTGCAGACATACATCAAACAGCTGCCATCTACGCTCACTCGATAAGATGGCTACAATAATGAGAACAAGGAACTCACTTGGCTTGGCAACGAACCAACCAAGAAGCTATTGTCCAACAAACATGCAGAAAAAAGTGGAGATGGATTGAATTAGACATACACTGAGAACACTGTTTTGGGACATGACGTGCCACGCCAGGCCTTCGAGTGGAAGCTAAATGGGAAACAACGAGTTGGGGGTCCGAGGCGAGGGTGACATAGAGGAGATGGTGTGAGGAGAAATAAAAGCTTGTGGGCATTGGTGGAGCCAGGTTGAAAAGACTGTAGAGAAGAGAGTGAGATGGCGACGTGCTATTGAATCATGTGTTCCACTAGGAACCCAAAGGAGAAATAATAATATTATAATAATTCACTGACTGTACGCTTATATACACATCCGTGGTCATATCACTATCATTATATTGTTTTGTTTCCTTTTTCATCATTATTCAGACGAAACCTGGTCTTCACTTGATCCATCTATAATATGGATTGATCCTTCGCAACGGTTACTATTAGCCCGTCGTTCTGGACAGGGAGTTTTATCTTATTCACTTACACCGTCAATAAAAAACAATCAACAACACGAGACATTAAAAAATTCCACCTATCCAAATATTAAATTTGATCCACTTACCTATTTGATCAAATTGCCTGTTGTACCACTTGAATTGTATTCATTTGGTATGCCGTCTTCAAGTTTGATACTTGTTGATACTGGGAATAGTGTGCCTCAAAGTGAACCCATCACATTTCCTATTGGAATTGATCGTCGGTCACGTGGTGAATCACTTCTACCTTTGTTACGCTTTCTTGTTCAACTCCCAATCAAAGAAAGGTTTGTTTCATGAGCGAACTGATCTATTTATCAAACTTTTAACACTAGGCCTACAGAGTTCCATTTATGACATAATCAATTGGTGAATTTGTGATCTATAGTTAGTTTGGAAATGGGTTTTTATCCTGTGTCATCACTTGGACTATTATTACTCATGGTCCACTTAACAACACGATAGGTTTACTTCATTTATTATCAATAGTGTACCATCTATTCCTATTCTTAAGACTCCCAGACACCACATACATATGGCCACCCTCAGGATTTAACTTTCAGATTCCTAGGCATAATTTTTTCCTATAGTAGTTAAAAGATTTAAATCTCAGTTTATCTATAGTTTAATATGATTTTCTTGTTTATTATCATGTCTATTACTGAGGAACTGAGACACTAAAATGACACTAGTATCGATTAGTTATCACTGTACCTTTAGACGAGTCACAAACGGATATCATGTTGAGAACAGTTTATAACACAGGTAGAATCGTTTACTTTTGAGAACATGTCTCCAGAGTCAAACTTTCAAGTCCCATTCATAGTAGGCGAGAACTATAGTTTCACTGTGACAGTTTCCCAAAACTCTTGGTAAAATATGCGGAACACTTTAAAATCCATTTCTGCTAACACATATCACCCTTGATCATTAAGTCGCATCCTCTGTAATCAGTCGATATGGACCCACTTAACAAAGCGGAATCGCTGAAGAACTTACAAGTTTAAAATGTCAGATTTTTCATTCATCTCTGACATTACCGAAAAATGAATGGATGATAACTGTTTTAATTTTATGTTCGTAGAGCAATTTCTCAACCTCAAGTTTAAGGACGTTATATAGCCTACCGTGTTGACAGAAGCGTGTAGCTCTTAAGGGTGAACTATGTCAAAAGGATAATGTGTCTAGATGGTATATATACTAATGAAATGGTAGCATATGATAATCTGAAATATCTATATTACTGTCATGGCATTCATTTGGTCGCAAAAGGTTAGGTATTCATGATACTTGTGCGTTCAGATGCTACTCCCTGTGAATATATGTTTGACTTTCCTCTTCTCATCAGTGTTGCCGTCGTTTGCTGCTCCGAGGATGTTTTAGGTGATGTGGAAGGTCTTTTTTTATTTGATAACAGTCGTCTTACAATATCAACTTCAATTGTTTGGATATTTTCATATAGTTTTATTTAGTTTGGTTCATCTCTTGATATTCAAGAAATTCAGGTTAGATGTTATTGTAACTGTATCCTTCTTTTTTAAATGTAGTAAACTTTACAATTTTATTTGTAGTACCAATATTCCATGCACTCAAAAACCGGGTTCAGTATTTCTTCCCCTTACTCCATTCAAGTGTTCAATTCGATTGGAGTTAAATGGTGAATTTCAAATGGATTCTAACTATCGGCCAACTTTAATACCGAGTTGGCTTTCACATTTAGTGCTTTGGGAACATAATGAGACAATCGAATCTATCTTGGAGTCAGAATCTGCTAAATTCATCTTAGAAAGATCCTTGTCAACACAACTAGAACCATTATCACAATCATCGCCTTTTTACACTACATCTACCCAATGGCAATGTGTTGTGCGAACTCCTACAGCCTGGTCGTTTAGTGTTGATACCATTGCTCTTACACTCTTACCTAAAACAAGAATGATTCTACAATTAATCAAAAGTCATGTAACTGGTAATGTTGAACAGGAAGAGAATTCATCAGTCATCGCTCAGACATCATTGCTTCCTTTGCCAGGTATCAAAGTACTAATTCCCCCTGCGTTGAGACTTCCTGAAGACAGTCATGTATCTACTTCCAAGGACTGTAAGTTTTTGCATACTTGTAATATAAAAGTTTAGTTCTGAGTTATTTTGTCTGTATGAGTAGTGCATAATCTAACTTTTCATGAAACCTCTCTATATAATTGAAAGTTTTTAAATGACACTTAGTTCGTGTATTTATGCAGAATTCATTTATCCTTGGACACTTGAACTACAAACTTCAGATTCCAGCTCCTCGGCAAGCAGAAAAGGTGGTAAAATAACAGGAAGTGTATTTGACTTCAAGTTGCGATTCATCATGGATTGATATCAGTTAGAGGAAGATTATAAACCTGGAAGCACTGGTCAGCTGTTTCGTCCTAGTGTGGAACTCCTCAGTAGCGCACACCCACGACCCCGTCAGGGATCGAACCCAGGACCTTTAGGTTTCGTGGCCAGAACGTTACCATTCAGCCACTGGATCGGACTTCAGTGGTTCACAGTTTCCAACTTCTGTCAGTTCACGATGTAGCGAACCTGCATGCAATGTCGTTGTTGAATAACTGTCCTCATGTTCAACTTGGTTGACTCCACTAGTCGAGACTTCTCACTGGAACTTCAGGAATCACCTCTTGAAGCTAGTTACTAAGTGTACTTAAACGTTTAGATATGAACAAAATACTATGGCATATATGCATCTTAATGACCTTGACTATTTCAAGGCCGTTCTAGGAAGATATATCCTATTGGTTTTGCCTCTTCAACCAATCTGATATTTGCATATAGAAAGAAGTCCATATTTTTTTCCCTGAGACTTCGAACCAACGCGATTGATTGTGAAAAGCTTCTTATGGAGAGTTAAGGCAGTCTTATCGCACACTGTAACAAAAATATGTAAACATATATGGAAGTGTGCGTTTGTTTGTGACAAGTTCGTATCAATTGATCCTTTGAATATTATTATTGTCTAATGTCACTTAATATTTCTTCATTAATGGCGACTAGTTGGATTGCGCATCCAAGTTTGAAGCGGTGGGTTCCGAATTTGAACTTCACGTGTAACTGTGAGTTTAGATACCCAAGGTAATATCATTAGCTGTCATATTGTGTATCTGACATGCTGGGATATAAATTTATACCAGGTTGATTTGATTCATTTTCTATATTTCAGCATATCAATTTTGGATAACTCATACTGATCGCTTTACTCAAAGTCTGTTGATTTTCATTCCACCGGCTACTTCATACGCATTGAGTATGAAAGAATTGGGATATGATAAATTGTTGGTTCGATCACATTCTCCAGATATTTTACAAATTGTTGAACCAGCACGATCTGTTCAAAGTTTGGCTGAAGTTGTGGATATTTTGAAAGATTATAGTCAAAGTTTATCTTCATCTTTAGCTTCTGTTACATTAGCATCATATCCTAGCAGTGTTACAACTGAACTATCTCGTTGGCTTTATGTAGTTCATGAACAAATTGAAAAGATTGAAGATGATGCCATCTCTGATTTGAATCCATCTGTATTGAAACACAAAGTTTTATGGACAGTACAAATGAGATGTGTACCTGGGGATTCTCGTGAGTTTGTTGGCTTGATGACCTATATTTTTTTTCTGTTTCTTTCCAGCTTCCTAAGAAGGAGTCTTATTTGTTATTACTTCAAGCAATAATTGATCCACTCACTTTTTGTTATATCTTAGTGAAAGAAGCAAGAAGACAGATACGAAGGGAGGAATGTTGATTGTCAACCAGTGGGACAGTAGTCGTTCAATATGCACTAAAACCGTCATTTGCAAAATATGCTTCATTTCCCCTTCCGCTTCCACTTTGATTTGCTCTTTATACGCCAGCGTTGTCTCTTCCGTTTCTCTAGGCAGAATCCTTACCCATTGCTGGTAATTCTTTGTAATTTCTGCCACCCTCTCAATATATACTACTTGCATCCATTCTTATCAGCAACGCCCACTACATTAGTGTCATGTTAGTGTGTGTAACACTAACGAATTCTTCGGTCAACACTTGTTCATTCGTTTGTTCTGGCACAGTTACAATTGTGCTGTCAATAAACATTATAGCCTTTAACAATGAAACCACTAGATTGTGATGCTAATCAACAAAACATTATCACCATTTCATTTTCTTTCATACTCACTGCATATCTATCATCTCTTACTTTAGTTGATGATATCTACAGCACTCGTCTGATTATCCATCCAAACATTTCGCTACTATATTAAATTTCTTAAATATTTGCTCAAATGATAATGCCATCCATGCAAGAAATAGATCCAGAGATGTGTAACACATTCATCATTACTGGTGGAAGTTTTTACTACTACAGTTATTGCTCTAAGTTATGTCTGTATATATTTAAGTTTTTCATAGCATGAACTAATATCTACATTCATTGATTACTTGGAAAGCAACCAATTTCATGTCGTTTAGTCCTTAGTGCTGGTCAAATCCTATCGGTCATTTTATAGTGTGATCACTTTAATAGGTGTTAGTTAGTTGGAGCCCTGCCCGACCTAAGTTTCATGCTTGTTGAAACTTATCAGCATGGAATATCTGCAATCTCGAAACAATTCATGTACCCTTTGAGATTCGAAAGCGCATCACCTATTCCTGCAGTTAGTTGCTCTGCCTTTCAGTTGATTTCATAATTTGACAGAAAATCATTGTGTTTTAAAACAACTTACTAGAGTTAAATTAGCGTTTAACAAAAGTAGTTTGGTAAATCATGTACATAGATGGGTCCTAGTGATAAAGGCCTCAAATAATTTCATTGTAATCGGCTAAAATATCTATCGTTTCATAATTCACTTGTACAATTCTATTTTAATTCATAAAAAAAAAGTGTATACTGTGTATAGGGATCTAAATTCTATCTCACTTTTGCCTCACTTTACACAGCTATTGACACAGTGGTGAATGTTGTACTCAGTCTCCGTTCAACTGGACAACATATTGAAATCCCTGTACGAATAAGTATACCATCAATTAGTCAATTGGATGGTCAAGAAATAATAAAGCCCACTTCATCACTTTACTTTTTCAATTTCTCTTGGATCCATCTATTTGCTGTTATTCTCATTACACTATTCATTGCAATTATAAGTAAGATATTATTTGATATCATTCTGTAAACAATTTTTATGCTTATTATTATTGTTGTTATTTCGTTCATTTAGTTACAGTAACAAAGCATAAGTAATGTTTTTGATACAAATAATCAATATCGATGGAAGTAGGTGACTCTAATGCCTACCTCAACATCAATTAAAGTGACCTATTCCATTTCCTTATTTTAAAAGAATTCGTCTTTCTAGCAGAAACAAAGAAATCTAATTGACTGTTTCAATTGTTGCTAGGATGGTCTTAAAAGTCACTGGTGGTGGAAGCACTTGAAACTGCGCATACTTCACAACAGTTTTGGACTTCATTATTTCCTAGACATTAATCATTCGTTAATGATGGATCGTGGCTAGCAGTGGAATCCAGGATGCGCATTTCGTCCTATTTGGGACTCGTCAGCTGGATGTACCTGCCTCCCAGTGAGTGATGTTGTTCCCACCGGGATTCGGACTCGGGAGCGATCGTTTCAAACGCCAAGACGCTATCTACTACATTGAGCCACGATAGTCACTTCTTGTGCGACGGGTATAGTTTTTAGTATAATTGTTTTTATATGATACCGTCGTTGATTGGACCAAATTGATCTGTCTCTAAAAACTATACCCGTCACACAAGAATTGGCTATCGTGGCTCGGTAATGTAGTGAATAATGCTCTGGCATTTGAAGCGATCTCTCCCCAGTCCGTATCCCGGTAGGAATATCACTCATCGGGAGGCAGGTACATCCAGCTGACGAGTCTTAAATAGGAAGAAATGTGCATCTTGGATTCCACTGCTGGCAATATCGAGGCATCCACACAAGAGCCCATATGCCAATAGAGACTGATCAATTCTGTCCAATCAACGACGGTATCATATAAAAATTATACTAATTAATCATTCATATTCATTATTTCGCCTTCCCTATCACTTCAGTTATATGATTTGCGTTTACTAACCTTACCAGAAAGTTGTTGTACGTGTTTTAGAGTAGAAAAGAAACAATACAAATTAGAAAATGGCATCAACATATGAAGTATGACACTACGTAGTAATATCAGGCCCCTGTTGATATTGAGTGACTGACGTTATAGAGTCTCTAGTTTTCTACTTGAACACTGTTGGTTTCCCAGCTGAGGTCTTCGATGTAACAGGAACTCGGATTTGAAAAAACTTTGCGGTATGACAGTCACAATCTCAAGCTAATGCATTCTCGTCATATACTTCGTATATATACATATATATAATCTGAAGGAAAAAAATCTGTCAGAAGCAGTAAAAGACGATTAAGATGGACATAAAGTGTAGAAACATCTGCACCGCCGACATCGATTCTGAACCATATCACCTTGAGTCTGTAACTACTGGTTTCTGTTATTACGCAGAGCCCGATCGATCAGTTTGCGTCTCCTTACATGCCTCAAACCAACAGTCAAAGATTTCATACAGTGGTACCCTATTTTAGTCTGACCCCAATGAGTCTTTTTCCAGCTTGAGCACACTTCAGTCGACATTTCGTGACAAGACAGATGGTAGCTAGACATGCATTACACATGTCTCAGTCATCTGAGTCAATAAATGTCCACAACCTTATCAACTGATGTATATATATATATATATATATATATGGTGTAAATGTCTGGACCTACATAGAATTATGCCATATTCTGTCTCGTTGGTCTCCTCGTTTACTTCCGATTCATAACTGGATAGATTTATTCTGATGGATAATTTTGTAGTCAGTTTATTTTTTGTATTTATTATTTAACTATCCATGTAACGGAGATATAAGTTCTTCCGATTTGTATCCTCTAATCTTTTACAGTACATATTATATTACGCAGTGAGACGTTAATAAGTTCTTCGAGTGGTTCAAATACTGGGAAATATTCTCCTAGTCCTCTTCCTCCAATAAACAAGGAATTTGGTCGATCTTCTGTTGGACGTCAATTGTGGAGTCAAAGCTTTGTTCCTGGTGGAGGTCCTAACACATTTCGCCAAGCTTCTATGACATTTGGAGGTCTACGCTCTCCTAGTGGTTCACCTCCTTTCCGTTCAGAAACTTTTTCCCCTAACATTTCAGCTACTAATATTCAACGATGTTCGCCTAGATTTGGTGTCGATGGAAGTGGTGATCTTGTAAATGATGAAAGACGATGGCGACAAGCGCTTAGTAGTGGAACGAATCGTTTAAGAGATAGCTTTGATAATATGTGAACTTACATCTTGAAATAACCATCATACGCATTGTTTGACTCACCTGTAGCATTCCCCTTACGATCTATTTGTAATAGTATTTTTTTAAATATATTTTGTTGAGTTATCAGTAAACACATTTTTCCAAGGCGTTGATAAAAGCATTTACTGCATTATATGTAAACTGTCCATTCATCAGCTATTAATTTTCAAAGTTAGCTTCATGTTTTGTATTATATCTGTCGCTTTTTCCCAGCTTTTATATGTTATAATAAAAGTTTTCTTGAGATTATGATGGTCAATTTTTTCCCTCAAGTGTTCAGCAATGTTCAACCTAATCATATAAACGTAATATTTTACTTGTATTTCCTGTTGTTGTATCCCGTGAAAATCATCCCTGAATATAATCCTGTCGTTTTTTTTCGGTTATAAAAAAGTCTCCTTATTCCACATAAACTCAGTAATTTACACAGATATCTCCAGTGTATATTCTATATGAGTATTCTGCGTTTGATATTTCATCAAGTACTTCTAGAATAGATACTGGATTCAGTAAATATCATTAGTTCATGGGTGTGCCTCAAACGCCCTGCATCAATAATGACTGCTAACTGTATATATGTATTTACTGAGTAACTTGTCATCATTTCGGTTACATTTTGACTTAGATTCAACATAATCAGAATGGTTTGTTTTCAATTTTCGAAGATGGTTGCTAGAAATCGAATTGAGTATTTTGGGGATACGTTTCAAACAGACAAACAAACCATCTTAAAACCTAAAACAATGAAAACATAGTTCCAGTTCATACACCGCAACAGTTTGCCGAAAAAATAGAGTAAAGCAGAAAGATACAATAAGAAGAGAAAGGAAATGGTAGTCGATTCTGAGACGTATCATTCAGCACTCAGTTACTGATTCTTAACCTCTTGAAGATCTCTGCCAGGCAGTCCAAACAGTTGAAATCAACAACTAGCAACTTCAGTGGTCGATTTCACACCTCGGTTCCACCACCAATAACCTGTTTTCTAACTTATTTCGTACTGGTTCATGAAATTCACTCCAGCCACTAACATATAAAGTATACTTTATATCGCAGACAAGTTGTCATAAATATTTCTTGCCATCCTGAGAGATGCCTTTCATAAGTTATTTGTCTGTGCCCGTTTGTTTTGCATGCACTTTAGCGACTGGAAATGCTAAAAAAATAGTGTAACTGAACATCTGTAATGAACTTCATAACTTGAGATATTCCGAAGCAAGAAATAATTACTGTGGTAAGTCTCTATATGATATAGCAATCACAGTAGCAGAAAGCATCCTCTAGACCTTTTAAAGTGGATTATCTGAAGTAATATTTAGCATTTCTGTGTTCTAGAATCTGATGAAGAGTCAACACTTAATCATTGTCGTTTGATTTGAAGCTTAATGGTTTCTGGTCGTCGAGTAGACATCAAAAGTCAGGATTATGAGGTCAACTATCTTAGTGTTTTTTTATTGCAGGCCTTTTCTCCTTACTGAAATGTATCTGACTAGACCACAGCCAGCTATAAACTATCGAGAATTACAACAACTGTGTGAATGTGACTGGAAACATTTCCTCTGGACCTCATGTCTTAACATTTTATGATATTTAGTAAATTCGTTGTAATCCAGTCATGCAGCGGAAAATATGAATATTTTGAACCCGAAGTATCTGAATAAAACTTGGGTTTGATTGGACTATTCCTCTAAAGTGTTTTTATCGCTGTAATAGTATCCCTTAGAAGCAGATCGCCCTAACATCCTCCTGTTTAACAAGTGATCACTAGTGATAACTTTAAAGCTCGTATAACTAACGCTCAGTAAAGCTCTTTACATTTTTTAACCTTTGTCATTTGTAATCGTTATGGAGACTTTGCTGTATTATTTTCCAGCTGTTCTCAATTTTTCTAGACATTTCAACAATTTTCAATAGATGCCTTCACCTCTCATATGAAAATAACAACTTTTAAATTCTATCCACTTTTACCACCCTTTCAACTGCAAGCTACCAAGTATCTGTATCCCTTTGAAAGTAAATTATCTGTGACTTGAAACAAACACATCTTTCTATTGATAAGTATCAGGACCATTTCTTCTAAGAATAATTTAGATGTAGTTTTACTTTCAAGCTGAATATGAAAATGACTTTCATATACTTTAATCTATAACCATTCAACCCCTTCTTTGTCCATGTCTAGATGTATGCTCTAAGTAGTTTCATTATCTTCAGATGAATCCTTATGGCAGCAACTGGTTGAAATGCTATCTACCATTTCCTAAAGTAAACTATAAAGGCCACCGTAGCAACGACTGAAATCATTAATTAGGCTTTTTTATCTCAGCTGAAAAGGTAGTTTTTTTAAATAAAATACCGAAGCCTTATTGGTTGTCTTACTAGTTGTTAGGATGACGTTTGAATCCACTCCCTTTTCTATCATTCCATTAATTTCATGACGAGATTTTTAATGTGTCATTTTTAGTTGGAGCTGCCTGAATGGTAATCTTGCAGGTAGAGAAAACTAATCCCTGTTATCATTCCTTTGAGTAGATGTTATGAAAGAAATAGTCACAGATCGTAGATATTAACTTATCATCTTTGTTTTTGCAATCACCTTACCCAAATGTGGTTTGTCAGTTCATAGTAGAACTCGAGCTTGAGACTGTTTAATCTCAAGTCAGAAGGCACAAAGATAAAGGTGTGATACGGGCATAGATTTTGATTGTAAACATTTTGTAAAATAGTGAAAAGATAACCTTTTTGGTAGCGTACTTAATATTACTAACCACTGGATTATCACTATTGATACTTGTAATTTTCCGTAGCTACACTGGGTCGAATTGCTCGACCTCTGTTGGCAGATGATCTTCTAGATGGAGGCCTGGGTACTCATATTATATTCATAGTTAGTGAGGGGATCCAAGATGTGCGTTTCGTCCCATCGAGGCCTCCACCTAGGAGCCCATCTGCAAACAGATGTCGAACAATTCCACCCAGTATAGCAATGGGGAATTACAAGTATCAATAAACAACAACTGATCCCCTTTGCAAAGTAGTGGCCTTGTGGATAATGCTTTCGCATTTGAAGCGATGGGTACTGGGTTCGATTGTCAGTGACAACAACATCACTCACTGGGATGTAGGTATATCCAGCTGGCGAGTCTCAAATAGAACGAAACGTGCATCCTTGATCCCACTACTGGCTATCAGATAGATTACAGCATAATTTAGGATTGTGTGTTGTGTTTTTTTTCAAAAACAGCACATCAATAATCCGACGACACTTCTATTGAGGCAACGCCGTATATGATCCATTTTGTGCAAGTTGTTGAAACACAACTTCTAAGTATCGGATTTTCACTCATAACTTGGTGTTACTAATTTCCTCAAAGAAGCTAAGTGAAAGAAAAGTAAATCAGTCACACTACGGTCAGTTTGAGGTGGTAGAAATGTGCAAACGAAAATTTTAATCAAAGTTTTGGTCTCGTAAGTTCAACCCACGATACAATAACTTCTGATCCGAATCCGGCCACGGTCCAAATTTTTATTTTACCTCTAATCATTACACAGTATTAATACTAGTCTACCAAATCTCGGATAATGAGTATGATGTGCTCCCCCTCTTTAATTCCGTTAGATTTCGATTGGGATCAGAAGTCCTGAATGGGCAGCTAGTGTGAGTGCGACCAAGTGGTAGTCACGAATTCACATGGTTGTCGGGCGAAACCCTTGGTGATTGAAGTGAAATAATGTGGCCAACAGTTGGACTTCGTAGCTCAGTTGGCAGAGCATCAGGCCGGAAACCCATTGGTTGGTGGGTCAAATCGTGCTTCGGTCCAAATTTCCATTCACCTTCAATCATCGCCTAGTATCAGTACTAGTCTACCAAACCACGGTTGTCTCAGATAGAAAAATTATAAGCACTAACTTCTGACATGTTTATTGTTAGTAATTTCAATCCACTTGTAAAATGAATAGCTGCATTCAGACTTGTATCATTCGAGTTTTTCACCTGTAGAACAACTCTTGAAATGGAATAATTTCAGGTCTCTTCGTAGATTCCTTTTTCTCCTCTGACCATCTTTGGCAGTACATGACATTGAGTGAATCTCAGTTGCTAATGGTCAATGTGATCAAGAATATCCATTTTCAAAATAATTATCTTAGTAAATCAGCCTAGTAAATAATAGTGCCTTGCAAACCAATTTCCATAGGTTAATTCTCGAATTCCCACCCTTTAAGGGTAAATCCTTTATCTTTTCATTGAAACTTCTATGATCTTGAGAAACCACAAGCAAGATCAAAACTGAGGAATAATAAAAAAATTTGTCATTTGTTCTAATATACTCCACCGATATGACACAAGTAAAATACACCTTGTAAGATGAATCATACTAACTAAATGGCCAAGTTGTTCATAACCATTCAGTCCATTGGTGGTCAGGATACGTTCACAAGCGGATTTAAGATCAAGTTGTTTTTTTCTCTGAGTTCATACCAAAAATACACATTGTAAACCCTTCCATAGTATAACGTAGTCATCAATAGAGTGAAATCAACTATACTATCGTATACTTTAGGAACAGGACAGTGAAATGATAAGGAATAAGCAACAATTGACTGTGTAAGTTATGCAGCCTGAAAAGAATAACAAGAATTCCATGTCTGATAACAAGACTTGTTCACTAATCATTCAACATAGAGTAGTTAGAATCGAATTCGAAAATTCTATTGGTTATTCTCCGGAATTATTTAACTCCAGAGGTTGATTTTAGTTAGTACATGGACGGAAAGACAAAACTAACGTAGAGCCTGGCATTACTGCGTAACGGTCCAAGTTGCCATACCTTATATCAGTACAAGAGGAATCGATCAAAAGCAGTAGAAGGTAGAGAGGAGAAATAGAGTATCTAACCACTAGTTTCGATTGTCATGTGAACCTCAAACGGGATTCTACATTTCCCTACACTGCTCAGGCCAGCAGTCAAAGATTACATGG